ATTGTTTGTGATGCAGATTTCTCTTCCGAAGGTAAAAATATTGTTTTCTCACTTTTTAATGACACATTATGTTTCCCACAGCTACTATGTTTTAATTTCTTGGAACTAACTTTGTATCTTATGTTTGCCCCCCAAATTTTATCATGTAGATACAAATAATAAAAAAATAATAAAAAAATACAAAAAATTCTTGTGAATAATTAAAAGTTATGCGTGTTAATTAAAATTTTTTAAGAAATTTATCGAATTGAAGATTCTTGTGAATAATATAGATTTTTTCTATCATTTCTCAACTTTTCGTCTCCGTATATTCTTTTTTCGTCATATTTGTAAAGTAATATTAGATTATTTTACTTAATATGATACCCCCTTTTTTTAATATATATTTCAAAAGAAAATAAGAATTTTCTGTATTCAAAAGTATCCTATGTACAATCCTGTAAAAATTAACATCCTATTGAGGGCACATGCAAAGTGCATATAATTGAACTAGTTGATCGATAATTCGTTAGTGGTCTCTTACATGATGAATCACACGGAACATGTTTTCGTTCAACTATTTTTATGCTTACAGATAATGTCTAAGATGAACTTCATTAACGGCCAGTAATTACTTTTGGGGAAAATTCATGGGTTTTCCTTGAGCTGGATGTTCCCAAAGTAAGAAGGATGATGGTCTTGGCTTTTGAAATCTCAAAGCCTTCAACATGGCTATGCTGAGTAAGGAGATTGCTCATAACTTGACATTCTTTCATGGCTTAATTGCAAGAGTTTTGAAAGCTAAATATATACTACCCGATCGAGATGCAAATTCTTTGAAGCTGGTCATCTTGGCTATTGTCCCTCTTGGACATGCCGTACGTAGTATTTAGAAGGTCAAAAGGTTCTGGAATTGCATGGGGTGTCGAAAGCAAATTCAGAGGCAGTGGAGAACGACCCAATATTACTCCCTCTATCCAAAACTTACGTCCACTCTGAGATTTCACTTTTAGTCTAATTTAAATTATAAATAAAAATCTAAACTGAACAATAATTATAGGACAGATGGAGTATTTGGTTGGACAAATCCATTAGAACTCTCATTTCACACAACGGTTGTTCCTTTGTCAATGCCAAATTTGAGCAAGATTTTCAGAATTAATTCGGAACTAAATGCTTGTCGCGGGCAAATGCCCGGGGGCGTCCCACCTAATAAATTGATATGTAAATAATCAAAACTGATGAGGAATGAATTTAGTTTTTGATGAAAATAATTGATTGATCGAAAATTAATTTTTTCAAAAGTCCTAAATAAATGGAGAAGGAAAATTTCATACACTGTCAAATTCAAAATTTGAATGAACATGGCCATCTGATCTCTTCGTTAATATTGTAAATATATTTTTTATTTTTAAAAGGATGTGACACGTGCCAGAATGATTTATGCAATATGGTGCATTTAGAGCCAAAATATTTTAATAAAAAATTGCCACATCAGTATCTTATTTTCTACTTTAATAGGGTAAAAGGGACGATACTAATGGATTACTATTAGACCACTGATGACCAGATATTGTATACTTGTCATTACTTTCCAAATTGACAGAGAAGATGCGTACAGTGTACTGTGAATATAACTTGTTCTGGTCGAAGTAATTAAACTTCCCAAAATTAGAACTAACATCATAAATCACCAAAACAAACAAAAAAGAAAAATTGTTATTCTCTTCGTCCTATTCCAATAATCTACCATTTTATTTCAATATATAATTATTTAAATGGAATATATTACACATTATTATACACTGCATTACATCTCCTTTCTATCTCTAAACCCAACGAAAAAACATCTTCGTTCCCCATTTTCCTTTCAAGGAAGTACGGGGAAGCTAGTTCAATTTCACATTTTTATTCTTGTTTTAATTGCTCTTTTGTTTTCGATTTAATAAGATGCATCATCCCCAATGATTATCTTCAAATTTTGTGTCCTTTTAAGTTTTAATAGACAGAGATCCGTTGATTTTGTTAATTAACTTTAGTAGATGTTATTTTACTGCGCTGATAGTCAATGGCGTGGTCGCCAAATTGTAAGTTGTATTTTAAGATTTTTCTTTCAAATTGTTTTGGGAGGATTCTCATCAAATTATGATATTTAATATTTGTAAAAAAAAAGTATCAAAAGTATTTTTTTGGGGCGGAAGCATTGTCATGTAAATAAAAAAAAAAGAAAAGGCAAAAACCTCAGGTCAGCCACTAGCCTAGGAACCAAAGAAAGACAAATCGAGAAGATTTTTATTTCTTTTCTTTTAAATTATTAATTAAGTTGTGATAAGAAGGACAAAACCATATATAGACCCTTCCAATGCGTGGTTGGGACTTGGGACCCTGTCTTCAGTGTGTGATTTTTCATTGAGGGTTTCTGTTAGGAATACTTTTGCAGTGTTTCCTTTATTTTTTAATGTAAAAATATTGAGAATGTAAATGAAATGAAAAATATATTAATTAAAAATATTTTTTTTTAACAAAAAAAACTAATCTGTGCATAAATCCTTACAATTAGAAGCATCATCTCATGAATCTCATATTGCTAAGTTAATGATAAGACTTAACTATTGCTTTTGTGAAATTGTACGTTTTTATATACTATAAGAAAACACAGTCGAAAAATAAAAGACTTATTTATTATACTTTCTCTGTCCAAAAATAAAAAATAAAAATAGTTCATATCGAGTTTTTAACTTTGAACTAAAAGTAGTAATATCGAAACTTAATGTGGTTTATTTTTTTGAAAAAACTTGAATAAGGGGCAGTAGAGACTAAATAATTAATAAAGAGGACTATACTTTTGAATAATTTATATTAGGGGCATAACCATTCAATGTCTTTAGGCCTTTATTTATTAATAAAAAAACCTATTTATTACATCAATTTAAATTCTTCGGAAGTTCATTTAATTTTATTTTTGTTTCTCTAAGCCTGATTAATATAAAAAAATTACTAAAGTGGTCAATGACAAAAAAAAATTAAAGGTAAAAATTTTTAATATTCTTAAATTTTAAAGTTTTCACTAATATGAAATATTGAGTAATTTAAGTATCTCTAGTAAAATATGTTGTATGGCTCGTGTAAGTACAACTTTTTTGGGAAAGAAAAATTCGACTAATGTCAAAAAAAAAATTACTTGAAAAAAAGTCAACATTATATGAAAAAAAAATCTCCTATCAAAAATTAAGAATTATTAACCTTTATTTATTAATGTCAACATAATTATATTTTTTCATGATTTAACATATTACTTTTTTCATATTGATAGTACTAAAATATTATCAGCATGAACGATTTAATTTATGTGTTGAAAAATCAAATGAAAAAAACAAGAAAATTTAATTTCAAGAGTTAGAGTCATGTTTCGGTTATTGAATCATTGTGCCCCTAAAATAAATTATTCAAGAGTATTGCCCTATTTATTAATTATTTACTCTCCACTGCCCCTAATTCAAATTTTCCCTTCTTTTTTTTTTTGGACAAAGAGAGTATTAAAGTAATATAAAAAGGATGCTTATTTTAGTATGGAGAAGTAGTATTCTTTATAAATAAATATAAAGTAAAAAAATGTGAAGGAGAGAGTTTGTGACTTGTCAGAATGTTTTAGTAGTTTTTACTTTTTACCAGTAGCCAACAATTGATTTGGAGACACTAATTTAATCCATTGAAATAAAAGAATTAGATAGACTAATCTAGCCTTTTAATTTATTTTTTTTTTAAGTAAACTGTGAATTATATTGCTTCTCACCAAAATTGCCACATATTTACAGGATATACAGCCAATACTTCCATTCCTATCTCTGAATACAAAACCTCAATTTAAAAAGCATAGAAAAACCTCACATGCCTCCATGGTGCTAACAAAACAGCTACTACTAGAACTTTCAATCAAGACTTTGCGCAAAAGCAGCTTCACTTGGTTTCCTTGCATGGTAACAGTTCTGAATCCATTTCTCTCTTAATCTCCTCTCAGACCAACTCCACTGGCTTATGCTTTCCTTCATGTAACGTGAAGGATTTCTGGCTTTCCAAATCTGCTAGTATCCTGCTTAAATAACAATATACAAAACCAACCTGCCTGAGTTTACTGCTTCACCATAGGAAAGGCAGTTTTTTTAAGTTTTAACTTCTCCCTTTATTTCAGCTTAATAAAGACGTTTAGAAATTTGTAGAGATTAAAAAAATATAGGTAATGTGGTTTAAATATTTAATTCTTGAGTAATTCTTCTAATACATCTCTAAAAAAACAGTAATTGTTAGTTGATATAGTGAGATTAGAAGTTGAAATCAATTAATTAAATACTCAATTTTAGTCCTAGCATCAGCAGTAGCGTGTACTCTAAAGTGTCTCATATTGATTGAAATTGAAGGAATTTTTTAAGTATGTGTTCTTCTGCATTTAAAGAAAAAAATTTTATCTACTGAAGTAAAACATTAGAACGCGTATTGTATCCGACTCCTTCTTTGGAATTTTCAGAAATTTGCAAGAACACTATACATATGTAAGTTAAACCATCCTATACCAAATCTAAAAAAAATATTCACAATAAAATGGATTATTTTTTGTATCTTTCTTTAGATTCAATCAACTACATCATTTCTTCTATAGTTAAAATCTATTAATTAGATGTGATAAATCGTTCAACAAAGTGAATTATTTGTAGAAGTATCACATTAAAAAAAAAATTTCTCATCTTGTCTAAAGTCTAAGGCTTTATTTATTTTGTTTTTTAGATGGTTTTTTCATAATATTAAAATAATAACTTTCGTATTCTAGCATATTTTTTTACATTTTCAATATATATTTTTATATTCTTAATAAAAAAATACCTAAAAACACACATTAAAAAATGAAATAAACAGAGCCTAAACATTAGGAGATGACATTGGAATTTCTAACCAAATCAATCCTCATTTACAAATTGGCACAAACTCCCATTTATGGAATCCAAATCCTCAACAAACAAAATGATTGCACAATATCCAAAAGTGGGCAAGTATGGGCTTTGAGCCTTTTTGGACAGTCATCCCTACCATTTTTTTTTGTTAATAAAATATACTATGAATATCCTCCAAATATATTAAACAAAGCTGCAATATTTTTTTGATGATGAGTCCATCATTCGGGTTCTGAGTCTTGATCAAATCTTCATTTATATATAAAAGGAAAAAAAAAACCCAAGAATAAATCCAGAAAAGCTCTCCAGCTTCCGCATAATTGCGTCTCTATCTTCCTTCTTTTTTCCCCCAGATATATCATTTACGTACTCTCCTTCAGACCAGAGTTTGTTGTAGATTTTCGCTATCCTGTTTCAATGTTGGAACGGTTTTCAATTTCATCTCATCTGTGATTTGGGTTTTTGAGGAAAGCTAAGAGGAGAAACACAGTAGAGCAAAAACATGTGGGGATTCGGAGGGAGGCACTATTGGGGAAGAAAAGAAAGAGGGAGGAAAGTGGAAGGAATCGTGGTGATATTCGCATGGATGTCAAGCCAAGATAAGCACTTGAAGAATTATGTCGATCTTTACTCCTCTCTGGGATGGAATTCGCTGGTTTGCCATTCCCAATTCCTCAATATGTAAGCTTTACTTGATTCATTTCATTTACCGTTGACCATCGGATTCTGATTTTGTTTTTTACTATCTTATGTTGTTCTGTATTGATGAAGTTGGTTTCCGGGTTGAAATTAGCTAGGACCGTAGGATCTTTTATTTACACTGCTTCTGCTTTGAGCAGTGAGAATTTAGAAATTTTTGGTTTCAGTGCAAGAATTTGGATTTTGTTTTGGCATGATGGTTTTGGTATCTTTCTTCATTGCTTTATGACGGTGAAATTAAAGATGAATGAATTTTTGTTTCTTTAAGAAATTGATTGATTGTACTGTTTTGGACTTAAGCATGATTGAGGTTGTATATTGGCTAGACAATGTGTTGTTCCAGCCCTAACAAATTTGAGGTATCTCTGATCAGTATGTGGCTTGAATTTTCCATGGACCGTGGAATGAACGGATATCTTTCCATGGTTGGATGCCGTTATAAATTTTCAATGATAATGGGATCATGAAGTTTTGATTAAAAGTCTAAATGTCTTTTTTTTCCTCATGTTTCAGGTTCTTTCCTGAAAAGGCTGTTCCATTGGCTGTAGAAATTATTAGAGAGCTTGTTGAGGTAACTCCTAGAGTATTTTATACACTGCATCTGATTAAGGATTGTTCTGTTATAGGTAAACTCATTTATTTTAGGAATGAATGTAGCCCTGCAAACTGAAAATGTTCAGTCGAAATAATTTCTTTGAGCCATTGGATTCATTGCTGATATCTGCGTCTAGGGATTTTTTCGGTTCTGATTTTCTTTAACTTTTCCTTTTATAAATCGTCCTAATTACGGTGAACTGTTACATTTGTGGATCAATCAACTGGGAGTATGTTAACTTTTCATATTTTTTTATTTGATATAGGAGCTCAAAATGAGACCCTGCCCAGTTGTCTTCGCATCATTTTCCGGTGGTCCAAAAGCCTGCATGTACAAAGTTCTTCAGGTGAAACATCATTCTCCTTTTGGGAAACTTTGCAGATTTAGGAAGCTTCTTCTAATCATTTAGGAATCCTTCTTTCCTTGTGTAGCAGTCCCTGATAAATTCTAGATAAGTTGAGGGTTAGCTGACCATATGTTATTATATGAACCTAACCCTTTTTTTTTTCTTTTTTTTTTTTTTTTTGCGGTGCAGATAATTGAGCACAACTGTGAAGAACAAATCTATCTGGTACTTTTCCATTCCCTCTATTTCGTATACTAACTAAATGTGTGGTTTGATACACATCTCATATATTATATACAGTATTCTTGTTCAAACTTTACCTTCTGTAAAAACTCGAATAGCCCTATTCTTGTATTGTGTGACTGATCTTTAAACATTTGTTTCAGGATGAGTTCCAGCTTGTTAGGGACTGTATTTCAGGGTTCATCTTTGATTCTAGCCCTGTAGATTTCACTAGTGACTTGGGCACTAAATTTATTCTTCATCCAACTGTTCTGAAGATGTCCAAACCTCCAGCCATCGTTTCTTGGATTGCCAATGGAATCGCCTCCAGCCTGGATTCTCTATTCCTTAGCAGGTTCGAGAGTCAAAGAGCAGAGTATTGGCAGACACTATATGCTACTGTAGTGAGTATTCCTCAGAAGTTTTTTGCTAAGTTGCTGTTTCACATTTGTTTTTCCTGGTCCTTATGGACATTAACATTGTGCAGAGCATGCAATCTCCATATCTCATTTTGTGCTCAGAAGATGATGATCTTGCTCCTTATCCTATCATTCTCAATTTTGCTCAACGGATACAAGAACTTAAGGGTGATCTTAAACTGGTCACATGGAGCAGCTCCTCTCATGTTGGTATGCACCTTAACTGGTTTGGTTTTTATGCAAATGCACACTTCCTCATGATTTGACTGTCTTAAGTAGTAATTGTTACTGGCATCCAGCTAGAATTTTGTTTGCTTGTGTCCTTTGAACAGGCAACGTTTCCTAATCTCATACTGCTTTAATTCTTTTCACTCAGGTGCCAGTCATTTATATTAATTTAGATTAAAAAATAGTGAATTCTAGTTGATGAAGATCAGGATGTAAAAGTAACAATTAGATAACCAAATGCTTATGAACTGTTGTAGGTTTCTTTTGCCAGTTGCCTGATGTTGCACAGTTGAATGTAAATCTTGCAGACATAATGTAGAATGCCCTCACCTTAACCCCTTTTACTTAGTGAGGGTTGGATAGAATGTTGACTTTGCTTTGAATGCAAATCAACATCTGTCTACACTAGAGTTTGTTCCTTCACTGTCGGGCTTTGCTACCTCTGTTTAAGTGCAATTTTGTTGTTCCTTGTGGAGTAGCAGCAGACCGAATTGAACAAACTTGTTGTTTGTCGTAGTCAACTTTATCCTTATTTGCAAAGATTTGGATAAAGGGGATTTTTTGGCATTCCTCAAGTGATAGTATCTGACCTGATGTGCAATATTCTGGAAGTTGTCATATATTGATATTTTCCAGTTTTTTTTTTTTTTTTTAAATTGGATATAGGTCATTATCGGCAATATTCATCAGAATATAAAGCTGCTGTGACTGAGCTGCTGAACAAAGCTGCTATTAGTTACTCGAAACGCATTCGACAACTGGAAGGGGAGAGAATGGGCTTAGAGGAAACAGGTGATGAGATATCAAAACCATTTTGCAACCTTAGAAAGGCTGCATCGAGTTCACAAAAGAGCTTTCAAAGAATTGCCCTAGAGTTAAATGACCATTTCGTTGTACCTAGCTCAGTGGAGTATCCTGAGGGTAGAGATGTGGGATCTGAGCCAGATGAACATAAAGAACGTTTTATCCCTCTATCTAGCCTTCCAAACATAAATGCTCATGGAGTACTTGGTCAAGTTCTGTTTGATGTCTGTGTGCCAAAGAATGTTGAGGACTGGGATCTAGGGTTATCACCCTTGTTGAGCAGGAGGAGTTTCACTCCAGCCCGGAGGCATTCACCTTTCAATCCGATTAAATGCATCCGACGCTCAAGATTATGACATGTTAACCATCTTCTTGGCGCCCTCTCAATCCATTCGCGGGTTCTAAGGTGTTTTGGATCTCTCAGCATTCGGTGTACATTTTAAGGCTGTAACGTGATTTAGTCCGAAGTTGTAAATTAGGGATTAATTTTAGAGTTTAGTTTTCCACTGACCTTTCAGTCTTGTTCTATTAGCCAGTGTTGATAATCAAAGAAAATAATGCAACATGAAATGTGATGGCTGACAAGTGGAAGATGAAATAAAATCGTCTACTAGATGCTTGAAATGTTGAAATGTTGTATATTACTATATTTGATCAAAATTATTTTTCGGCCAAATGGTTTTACTCTTAAATTTACAGTAACGCTACTTTTTTTTTTTTAGTTAATTTAGCAGAAAACAAAAATGTTATAAGTACAATACACATCCTAAATTATAAATTGAAAAATCCAACAGAAAAAAAAAAAAAAAAAAAGTTGGTGTTAATAAGATAATAGTGGTTGACTCTTGCTTGGTTTTTGTCCTTTTCCGAAGGAATTAAAACACTTTTGAAAACCAAAAACAGAAATATAAATTTCAGAAAGCATTCCCTCTAAAATTTCCCATTTCGAAAAGGGGAAAAAAAGCAAAAGCTTTCAGCTTTCAGACATATATATAAATTTCTAATAAATCATCAGATGCTGTCGAAAGACTTTGACAGACTTGACTTCACGATGTCGAAGAAGGTGTTGGTGACCGGAGCGTCCGGTTACTTAGGCGGGCGATTGTGCCACGCTCTGCTCAATCACGGCCACCGCGTCAAGGCCTTCGTCCGCCGGAGCAGCGACATCTCCTCCCTACCGCTTCCGTCCGGCGACGGAGGTTTTGAACTTGCCTACGGCGATGTTACTGATTATTCAACTCTGCTTGAAGCTTTTTCCGATTGCCATGTCATCTTCCACGCTGCAGCCCTCGTTGAGCCCTGGATTCCGGACCCTTCTAGATTTAACTCAGTAAGTTGTAATGCCATCTACGATGAAGTTTAAAAATGGAACATTTTTGGTGGGAATTGTTGAATTGATTTTTTTTTTCCGGGCACTTTGACAGGTTAATGTTGGAGGATTGAAGAATGTTTTACGAGCGTATAGAGAAACTGGGAATATAGAAAAGATTGTTTACACGTCGTCGTTTTTTGCATTGGGGTCAACTGATGGATATGTTGCTGATGAATCTCAAGTATGGTTTGAACTTTTACTGAACCACCCTTTTGAATTTCTTGAGTCTTTTTTGCTTTGATGAAGACCCTTTTTTAATTTTTTATTATGACACTTTTTGTTTGTGGATTTTGTAAATAATAGGTTCACTCGGGGAAGTTCTTTTGTACGGAATATGAAAAATCAAAGGCCATTGCTGATAAGATAGCTTTGGAGGCAGCTGCAGAGGGAGTTCCAATTGTACCCGTTTATCCTGGAGTTATATATGGACCTGGAAAAGTTACTTCTGGAAATGTAGTAGCTCGATTGGTAATTTGCTAATGCTACTCTTTGCTATGTATGATATGATGCTCCCTCTCGTGATCCTAGTAGTTTAAAGCCTTTTTTTGAGTAGTATTGCAATTGAAAGCGGTGTTGGTTAATTTAAAGTAGTAATCTTTGTTAATTTGAGGTCTGAAACGGGGCTGATGGAATGGATTTCTTGTTCTAACTATAAATATTTTAGGCAGAATTAGCTAGGAGAAAAGCAAATGCTATGGTCCAGTGTTTTAGGCAGAATGTACCTGTATTACATTCTCATTTCTCCATTTATGCTACTCTTTGTTGCGATCAGGATGTGAGAGTTTAGCATATTCCTTGCTTTGAAGTGGTTGGACTGTCATTTGAAATGAAGTATTTCTCATTTTCTGGCTTTTTGTTGTGGATTTTCATAAAAAATGCGAAAAGTTGCTTGTGTAATGTGTACACATGCAAAAAGTCGATAATATGAAAAATGAGATATGCATCTTACAGAGCGCCTTAGTCGCTGAATTGTGACTGTTTGCATCTGAAATCAACGTTCCCATATTGAACAAATACGGACCTGGAAATGTAGTCGCCCGTTTGGAAATTTGCTACTGCCACTCGTATATGATTTGAGGATGTTTCTTTTGATACATTAGTTTCTAGCTGTTTTTGATTAGTATTCCTATTGGCGACACTTTTTTGATTATTGTAGTAGCGAATTTTATTGATTTGAACTTGAAAATGAGGCTGAATGAATGTTCTGGGCAGAATTGGTTAGGAAATGTAAAATCCTTTGGTCCAATATTTTGTGACTAATGTACCTGTATTGCATTCTCATTCTCCCAGTATGTTACTCGTTTTGATCACAAAATAGTTCGGCTGATTTGTTGCTTGAAGTGGTTGGAACTGGGGACGGCCTTGGAAAATCAAATATCTGACTTTTTTTTTGGCATTTTGGTTTGGATTATCTTCAAAATGTGAAAATTCGCATGCAATAAATGTCAAAAGTCATTTGTAATATGAGAAATGAGATAAGCCCCCAGAAAGTGTTACTTTGTAGTTGAACTGTGACTGTTTGAATCTGTTACCCAAGGTCCCATCTTGAGCAATAATCTATCAAGGTGAAAGAGTATTGGTCACAGTTGTTTAGATTGCATCTGATAGTTATTCTCTTAATGAGTTGGACTATCTGAGAAAACTTAATCCCAACATTAAACTTGACAGATCATTGAACGTTTCAACTGGAGACTGCCAGGTTATATAGGTGAGGGGAAGGACAAGTTCTCTTTCAGTCATGTGGATGATGTAGTGGATGGGCATATTGCTGCAATGAATGATGGTCAACCAGGTGAAAAGTACCTTCTCACCGGGGAGAATGCATCATTTAAGGACGTCTTTGATTTAGCTGCCACTATTACTCACACGAAAAAGCCTCAGTTTGGTATCCCACTATTTGCAATTGAAGCTTATGGCTGGCTCTTGGTTGTCTTGTCTAGAATAACTGGGACACTTCCCCTTATCAGCCCTCCGGTATGTGTGCATTCTACCCAATTTTTCTTTCTATGATTCCTTTTATGTGAGTTGCATTTGTAATGTGCATCGTATAGTAAATTTGTTAGCTGACACTCTTTCTATGCAACTAGTACCTGTGTTATGCTGTATGTTTTCTGAAATTAAATTAGTGGGTATTTCAGGAACAACCTTGAAAATGAAGGTGTTGTGAAATCTGAAGTGCCTGCAATTGACTAAGGATAAGTTCTTAGGAGATAGGATTTTTATTGCTGCACATGGCTATAAAATGTTGATAATAATATGCTTTGCTCCTGCTAGTAAATGTAATTTTGGAATCTAGACAGCTGTGTTGGAATTGCAGATGCCCCTTTGTTGTCAAATCAACTCATTTGTTTTTCTTTGGGCAATACTTTCTTACTTCTCGTCCTAGTAGCTTATGCATCATGAGACAGTCCTGTTAGATTAAGCAATTGCAGCAGATTTTTTTTTTGCATTGCCATCCTCCTTTTTGCTTTCCTTGGTATATCGTTCCCTGCAATCAAGAAGTTTTTGTTGCTAGATTCTGAATCTTTATTCTCCCAGATACCTCTTTGTATGCGTTTAATCTTTTCCTTCTTCTTTCTAGTTTCTAAGTTCATGGCATCTGATGATCTACTGATGCTCCATCTTTCATTTTATAACAGACTGTGCAAGTTCTAAGACATCAATGGGCATACTCTTGTGCAAAAGCCAAGGCAGAGCTGAATTATAAACCCAGAAGCCTGGAAGAAGGTCTTACGGAAATGCTCCCGTGGTTGAAGCAATTGAAGTTAATAAAGTACTAGTGCGATGACAACATGTACAAACCTTTGTATACCAATGTATTCATGATGCAAGTGTACACACAGATACTTTGGAATATAAAGAGCTCAGTTGCTCAAATGTCAAATTTGAGTCTCTTTCTGTCACCCTTTACACAGAGATTCGGTGCTTAAATCCTTACAAATTTGTCAGTGAATACCATAACAGCAGTTGGAGGAACCAAATGTACAGTTGAGTTTGTCATTTGATTTCATTGAACAATGGCCAGCAGCAACTGAAACTGAACAGGAAAGAAACAAAAGACTCTTGCTTTTTAATTAATGAATCCATCTTACATTTTTTTTTGTTTTTGAATTTGGGCGGGGTTTTGCTGACAAGATAGAAGTGACTTCCCATATTGAAATACGAGAGAATTTTTGAACCGTTGGAATCCCACTAAATATATTCACATTTTGAAAAGGGGAATGTCAAAAGGAGTTACTCCTTTCCTTATTGATTTTCTCCTCTGCTCCTGGACAAGACTCCCTTTTTCTTGTCTGTAATTGACTCCGGCAGTGGCATTTGAAAAGCTTAACAGTAAGGAAAACAAAAAATGGTGATGTCGAAGCAGAGATATGAGGAGATACGGCAGCAGAGGATGGAAGAAAACAAGAAGAAACTGGAACAACTTCATCTTCCTCTTCTCTCTCAAGCCCTTCACAAAACGGCTTCCTCCCCCAAAGCTTCTCCTGTATGAGTACCCTTCTCAATTCTCAAAAAGCTGCCTCCTTTTATTCTTCTACTAATCTTTTACCACCACACACACACACACACACACACACACACACATTGAGAAGACTGAATCTTTTTGTTTTCTCCTGGCAAAATTAACAACAGATGAAGAAGGTGAAACCTCGTCCGATTGGAACAGAACTAGTTGCAGTGAGACGATCAGGCCGTTTAACAAACAAGCCAACTCCTGATTACAAAGAAGTATTTCCCCCCTTTTTTGTGGACTTTCTCTCAGTTCTATTTTCTTTCTTCTTCTGTTTCCTCTGTTATGGCTGGAGCAGAACAAAGTAAAACCCATGCTAAATTCTTCACTATTGTTTCAAACAGGTTACAGTTTTTGAGCGTGTGATTTTGCCCAGAAGGTGTAAAGATTACTGACATTTTCTTTTCCCTTAATGCAGTTTCCTTTCATCTTTATTTTTTTTTAAGCCCTGTATGAGTTCATTCTCCTTGACTGCAGAATATCGTATCCGAAAAGGAATTTGTCGAATAGGGTGTATGCCTCTGATGAAGCCAGGGCTTGGGCTATAGAAGAAGCAGAAAAACTGGAGTCAACTCTGGAAGCGGGTTATCCCACATTCGTGAAACCAATGCTTCAGTCTCATGTCACTGGTGGCTTTTGGCTGGTAATTATTATACGTAATTAACGCCTTTCTGATGGTTCTCTTTATTTGTATCATGTATGTGTGTAAATTGAATCTTAAACTGTATTCATGACACCCCGTCCCCGTTATCGCTATCTAGCGCCTGATTTTGTTGAAACATCCACACAGTAAGGGATCATTCTATATTTCATATAATTTGGTTCTAGAAAAGATAGGTAAATATGGGAAAAGGCAAGAATTGGCTTAGTTAGACTTGTTGACATGTATATGGCGTGACACCTGCCATCATAAGATTTTCTGCTTTGGAACTTAGCTCTGATTTTCTGTATTCTGAAATGGCGCACCATATACTCATAACCTTAATAGCGTTTGATTCCAATTAAACAATGTGGGTAGTTTTCATACATGTATAGTAGGTCTAACTGACCTGGATGGATTGACAATTTGGCTCTGGAAAAGATAGGTGTAATGGGAAAAGGCAAGAGTTGGCTTGTTTTGTTGACATTCTTCAACGAGCATTTAGATGTAGTGGCACCAACCAGTACAAATTTTTCTACTTTTTCGAGTGCTTAATCTTCGCCCGTATTTGCTACATCCTGAGATGTCCTGTGGAATATCCTTTACTGTTAAACTGAAGTTGGCAATCAAAATCTGTTTTGAGTTGATTAAGCTCCAAGTATGCTAGGACTTGATTGAATAAGTTAACAATGGCGCACTATATACCAGGATTGGCTCTTTCTCAGCATTGTTTATTACCTTAATAGCATATCGTGTGTGTGGAATGTATGTACATGGTTTTATCACTGTATCTCACCTGAATGGATGGTAAATTTTTGAATGATTTGTCCAAATTGCAGGGCCTTCCAACTCACTTTTGCCGAAAACACCTCCCCAAAGGCGATGAAACTGTCACATTGGTAGACGAACAAGGAGAGGAGTGGCCAACGATATACTTGGGGCGTAAAACAGGACTTAGTGGTGGATGGAAGCGATTCGCAGTTGATCATGACTTGGTTGATGGAGATGCTTTGGTTTTCCAATTAACTGGGCGGACAGAGTTTAAGGTTTGTAAATCCGAACCCTATCTCTTTAGTACTCTTGCTGATGAACTTCTTATGACAGAGTTTTGTTGCTTATAATGTTGTGCATCACAAAACATTTGTTCACTCTTCAGGTTTATATCATCAGGGAAAATGGTTTTGGGAAGGAGGAAAGCACATAGGGAAATGACATGGTCACATGAATGTTTAGGTTTTGTTTTGCTAATCTAATTCTCTCCTAAGCATTAGTAGGTAGGATCTCTTGTGTATGCTCAAGGGCTAGGTTTCAAATATTTTGTCTACTTATGCCATAACTAAATGTTGAAACTAACAAGGCAATCATCCAAGGTAAGCAAATTTGTGCTCTTTAATTTCACCAACTGACAAACCATTGCATTTGCGACCTAAAAATTGTGATGGCCTGAAAATTTGTGCTCTTTCTTTCTTTCACCTAATTACATCAATATTCATATAGTTGCAGGTTTTTTGAGGTTAAAATCCTTAATGTTGTAGTCTTTAATTTACACATTTTTTCAAAGTAAACAGGAATACGTGTCTTGGAAGATTTACATGATCACAGCCTCACAGGTCACAAAACATGACAAAAGTGTGCAAAATGTAGTAAACATAACTGCATCAACGTCACTTGATTAGCCGATTGTAGTAGTGAGTGGCCTAGATAAATGTATTCTTTTCATCTCAAAATTACTCCCTCCGTCCCATAATTATTGTCCAGTTTTAATTTTCATTTTTAGTTCAAAGTACAATATAATATCAGAGTAACCTTTAATAACCTCCAGTTTTTGAAAATTCTGTACTGAATAATATAATACGTATCTACAAGAAAATGAAATCTTATTACATGAAAAATAAAATCACGTCATGTAAATAATATATATAAAAAAAAATAATGAAACTCGCAATAAAAAGTTTCCTTTGTTATCTTTCCAATCAATACTTGGAAAGATAAATAAAGATAATTGCGTACAAAGAAAATTAAGGGGGAAATAGCAACCTTATAAAGCTTGAGAGCTTATTGTTAAGAATAAAAGGTTCACAAGAAAAAAAAAATAAAGAATAAGAAGAAACCTTGTTAGCGTATTGATGCCATTTACTCCAAATACATATGACTATCTTCATGTGCGCTTGTTATATGTAACTACTACCAGCAATTCACGCCGAAATTTTTGGGAAGGCCAATGGGATTCTTCTCCAAAATTCAGTTGAAGGTCAGTCAAAGGGTTCTTCTGTCCCCTGCAAGAAAAGGGGGAAAAAAAGGTGTTTAATTTAGAAAAACTTTCCAATTGCAACTCTTAGACCAAATTGATATTGATTTATTGAATCAGAACAATATAATAAAATAGATAGTGTGAATTATTTCAATAGTTTAGTAGAAATTTTTAAAAATTTCCCCAGATAAAAAAAAAAAAGAAAGCTAATGAATATATAGTCCGTTTTAAAATTATTGTCTAGTTTGAAATTTTACTTTCAATACAAATTGAACTAGAAATAAAAATTTAAATTAGACAATAATTATGAGAGGAAGTACGAAGGTTTGGACTTTGGATAAATTGTCAGTGATCAATTAGTAAATTAATGATTAAAAGTGACAGAAACTGAAATGAATCCAAGAACAACGTGAGATGGACTGTCATCGAGTCATATATATTCTGTTCTGTGGATGGACTGTCATCTTTATTAATAATACTAATATTCTATACAATCTTACATTTATTGAACTCAGCCCCCATCTGATTTTATGGCGTCAGGGATATATATAACTGGCTCCAAAAAATTAAATTAATTAAATTTCTGTTTTTTGTAAACATTGATTAATGAATTTATTTATTGATCTTCCTTGCTATAAGGACGCCCATGTCTTTGACCCTCCATTCTAAATTTTAAACATTTTCGGTAAATATCTAGAATTGATTGACCAGATTTCACCACTTAAGAAATTAAACATTTCATTTACGGGAAAAAAGAAGGGGGGGGGGGAAGGAAACTTATTTTTGTAATATGACTGACTCACGGATAAAATACTTTCAAAAAACAATTCAACCAACAAATATTATTCTTTTGCCATAAAAAAAAAAGTCTATATATTAAATTTTGAGATTTGTAATGTTTTTAATACAAATTTTAAAACTCATTATAAACTATTTTTTTGGAACGGAATTTAAACACACAAAATGACGGATATTTATGCCGATTGGCCGACTAAAGTCGGCTAAATTTTGGATGAACTAGACCGGACCCTATTTCTTCTTATTATTTCATACTACATGGACAGGGTCCATATCAAAACAAAACATGATAAGCCAATCATCTAATGTATCTATCTATATCCCTTTTACCCTATTAAAGCAGAAAACATGAAACTTATGTGGCAACTAAGTATGTATCTGTTTTGGCTCCAATGCACCATATTTCAGATTTCAGGAGTCTTTTTGCCACGTGTAAGTCTCTTTTAATTAGAAGTTATATAATTTTTTTTAAAAAAAAAACACATGTTTTACTACAAATAAGGATTAGTTACATTTCAAACGAATGGATATATTAATTCAAATTCAAATGTCCAATCGTATAGTTTTGCTGGCTTAATATAAACAAAAAATAAAAATACCTAAATCCAGCAATTAAGAATAATGCCTTATAAACTAATTATTTATTATTCCCTTATAACCTCAGATTTATAGGTATATTTTTTTAAGCCCCAAATCATAGCATAAATGATATATACGCCAAATTAATTCCTCAAAAAATAGTAATTCAATTAGATTTTAATAAAATAGTAATTTAGAAGGGGCGCCCGGGCACCTGCCTGAGCCAAACATCTAGTATTATACTAAAGCAAAAATCAGAGAGAGAAAGTCTAAACTAATTTCCTTATGTCATGCAAGATTTAATCCTACGTGGCTTTTTAAGACATTTTTTTCTTTAAAAAAATTTTGTGGCATATTATCTTTATCAAATTCCCTACAAATCTTCAAACGTGATCTTGGAAATCAGATCTTAACAAGAAATTAACAAAAAGCATATTTGTATTTGAAAGATATAGTAGATTTTTAGAGTTAGATATACAGATTATTAGGAATAATAGCATATTTTTTCCAAATTTTTTTTGTTTTTTTGGTTAAACCCAATTCTTATTTTAAATTAAAGATATAGCCAACCGCAAAAAACAACTTAATTTATGAATGCTCCTACACAACTAACCTCGAACGGGTATGTTCCTATCTCATATCAATGTATAAAATTTTTTGACATAAAAAATATGATTATGTGGGATACAACTATCTCTTCTATGATCTACTTTCAAGATTAATTATCATGTGATTAATACTAAGAAGGTTTAAATTTATTCAATCAAGCGTCCCACGCGGAGACCATGGTCATATTCGCTTTAAATTTTCTGGAAAATTCATACTCATCGATGATTTCCTCAAACATATGGAAAAAGAGAAGGCGAAGAAGAACCAGAGGGTGTCGACTATTGAGCTTCCACGAGACGCGGTCGTCGAAGTACTTTCCAAGTTACCCACACGAACCATTTATGATTCAAATTTGTGCAAATTGTGGAACTCCCTAATTTTTGCTCCTAATTTTGTTCCGAGCATTTCCTCCAGGATTTAATTGCGGAGAATCTACTTATAGAACCTCCATATGCAATATGAAGGTAAGACATAAATCTCCCCTATTTTGAACTTTAGCTCTTAAGAAATACATTTGTATTCATCGAAGCCGCTGGAGTATTACTGCAATGAGCATCTTAATTAAAACAATTAAAATAAATGGTGAAAAGGTTGAATTTAAACTGTAAACAAAATTTGACAGTCATATTTTAGGAGCAAACAAATCATTCTATTAACAGAACATCACAATTGGAATTTGGTTAAAATTCTGATTCTATAAAATCTCTTGAATCACTGAGATCTCTTATAGATAGTCGAACGATTGTCATAAATTTTTCTCATCTCATTCCTCTTCTTGGATCTCCACCGACAGAAACTAGGTAACATTATTATTTATGTGGAGCAATTTCATGTATTTTTATTATTTTTTAAAAAATAAAGTAATTTAAGGTGCAGGGTTGCAAGTAGAGAAACCGAGAGTTTTTTTTACTTTAAGCTACAAGGAATTCTTATTGAGTCCATGTACATGTTTCAAGGTCTGATTATATTTTTCCATCACTTGAATACTTTGCACGTTTGTATAATAGTTTTATTATCTTAATTTAAAGTCGTGATGTTTAAATTTCTTATTTGATTCATGATTAAAGATTCTTGATCACAGGATAATGGAGTCGCATGACATCTTTACAATCAGAAAAATCATTCGCAAAAACAAGTTTGTAAGTATATCATAGGAATAATAAAGTATGATCTTTTTCAAAATAACAATTTCAATATAACAAGTTACAATCTATTGTTCGTGAAAATCATGTAGTACTATTAAGAGATGATAGGGTCGTACAACTATTTGAATTATGCATGATTAAAAGTTGCGGAAAGATCCATTTTATGAATTGGGCGCATGAAAGAAATTTTCTCGTGTGCCTATTGGTCGTTTTGAGAGATGAACAGTTGAAATTTTGAAATTCGGCACTGCAATTTTGAAAAGTAACTTAAATTTAATGCTTATGTATAGAATATACACATTTTGATTCTTCAAACATGATTAAAAATAGTTTATACTTTAGATTTCTTTCACTTATATCACAATGTATTTCTATTAATTGATTCACATGTGATTTAATTGCAAACATTTCCTGAATCATGTAATATTATTTAATCATATGTAAAGGAACTTTAAATATAGAGGGCACATCAACCAATGATATGGAGCTATGAGGTTGTATGAAGGGTATTTGACGGTATGAAATTTGGGAGAAGGAAAAGTAATCCCTGTAGTTGACAAGATTGTAGTGAATCTGGTGAATACATGAGGGGAATAACTGAATACTCACTCAGGATAAGAGGGTAGAATCCGAGAACTATCACAATCGAATTGAAACTTCTTCATTTGCCTAGAGAAGAAAATAAGGGTGGAGTTCCATAAATATACAGCTTCTCCATAGTGGGCCTTGAAAAAGTTACTTTAAAAAAAAAATCATTGTAGTTATTATTTTTATAGAATTTACTTTCTAACTAATTGTGTATAAAACTTTTTTGTAAACTTTTTGTAAAAAGTTGTGTATAGAACTAGCAATAAATAATTTGAGAAATAAAATGCTGAAAAAGTGCAGTGTTAGATTTTATTTCATCGAGAGTAGAAATTTAAAATTCTCATTTATAGGAGTGGAACGTTGGGTCACCCTTAATATTTATCTAAAGGTTTCAATTGTCTATATGCGAACCTTCCGTAATATTATAAAATCTATGTTGTTAAAAAAAGTTCAATGGATAAAATTCTTTTTTCAAATTAAAAATATTATCATTTCAATAAAATGTGCAAAATATAGTTGGACTCATTTAGTTTTTATAAGATGAGTTTGAAACCCTAGCCTAATGCTAATTAGCGGGTTGGCTTAGATGTTGAACAACCATCTCTTTCATAAGTTAAACTAAATGTGAGAAAATTGATATAAGATTAAGACAAAAGTAATTAAATAATGATTGCAATATTACTAAACAAAATAAAATAATTGCTTCTTTTTTTTTAAGGTGAATCAGGACGGTACTTGGCGAGCATCCCCCGATTTTATTGATAATAAAAGAAAAATTACACATGCAGTGCTTAAGACTTACCCAAAGAAAAAGACTCTGTCGGACAAAGATTTATTAAAATCTCATGACAGCTCTATGTTTTAGTAACTAAGACGATGCTTTACAAAGATTTATCAAAAATCCCATAGCATCTAATTTTTTGAAAGTATAAAAGAAAATAAACTAAGAAAGTATCTTACAAAGGTTTAACATGAACCCCATGACACCTCTTTTTTCCTCTAGAAGGAAACTTATATTTAGCTGAGCTAATCCAATTTCCTATCTATTTCACTATTAATATCAGATTGAGCGCAAATCCTATTTAACCCTTAGATAGGGAAAAGAGCATTTGTCAAGGAACCATTTACCTCTTACCCTTAGATAGGGAAAAGAGCATTTGTCAAGGAACCATTTACCTCTTAGTGTGGTTGGGAGGTCATCTTGATGAAAATATTGCTAAAACAACTATAGGACCAAATTTTGAAAGTGTTTTAATTAAAAAAATTAAACTTTAATCCGAAAACATATTAATGGAACAAAAATAGTTGACTTTAACAAGTAAAAAGACACTCATATCCTCAAAAATAAAATATTTCTGACAATGGGTAAGTTAAAATAAAAATAAATTATTAGATAGATAATGAGAAATAATTAGACCAAACGAACAAACGGGTTAAAAAATAAAAAATGAAATAAGGTGAGAATGCATCATATGTGAAAAAGAAAAGAGCAGAAAGATTGTACTGAAAATAGGAGTTATTTTGAGACAATGAATAAAGATACTGATATGTGATTAAAATATTAGTGATGTCAATTCCAGCACTATGTTGTAGTCTACAAACCAGTATTGCATGATATTTAACCTTTCAATTCGAAGTTCATTATTTTTTATTTTTTTATATTTTTTTTTGAATTCTTAACAGTCTTCTTTGCGTTAAATAAATTATCAATGTATATATTGATATGGTAAAGTGTTGTTGATGTTTGTGATTTATTTTTTTCAATGAAATTATTATACATTTTACAAAATTTATAAATAAAATATTAATATTTTTTGCTTCGCTTGTGTTGTAATGTCTATATGTATATGTCTTTCCCGTAATGAAAACACCGACTAGCTTTAGTTATAGAATATGTTAGTTGGAACGAAGCAGATTAGACGGTTTCACTTTTAAAGGAATCGTGAAACAAACAAAAGATATGTAAGTTTTTTTTTTTATCATAATTACTAACAAAGAAAACTAGATTCTAGGATAACAGTATTTGATTGTAATAGATTCTCTCTTCAATTTAGCCATTATTACGAGGCACGACACAGTCACACACACACACACACTGTGTCCTGCTATACGAAAGTTTGATTGTTAGCCTATTAAAATTAGTGGCGAACATACATTTAGAATTGGATTTCGTAAATAAAAACAGAAGAGTACATATAATAACATATGTAAGTACGTTATAGTAGTTTCAAGCGTCACATTAAAAACGTTATCAATTGTTCTAAACAAGTTGAAAAGAGAAATTAAATGATTCTTTTAAGCTAAGTCTCTAATTGAAAAATAACAATCTAAATTTAAAAAAAAAATTACTTACTACGTCACAGAAAAGTAGTCTATTTTATTATATTATTTTTGTGAGGCATAAAATAATGCGTAGTACTACTATATAAGACTACATTTTCTAGCTAGCTGTAAAACACGTTTTATGAGGAAGAAGGATTAATTAAGGTCGGATTACGTCGTTGATGAATGCATGGTTTGCTTCATACGTAACGAAGAGGTTGATTTTCAACACACATTAAACCACTGGAAATCGACTTAATTGTTTTCTTGGCAAAGAAGAAATATCCGAGAAAAGAAGAATTTTAAAGGAAACGCTAGCTGTCTTCGTATATATTTTGTTTGACATTTTAATCGTTAATCGTAGCGTGAAAGAGATATAAACAAGACAAAAAAAAAAAAAAGAGTTCAAGAATAATAATTTTTCTTTTTACTCAAAAACAAAAATTTTGTCTGTTATACAGCATTTAACATTTACAAAATTTTTATATTGAAATTATAACCACTTTATAATATGCTCCATTTGTCCCACTTTTTCTCCATATGTCAAAAGGTAAGTAACAATTATGATTTACTTTTTGGTTATTTTTCCATCGGAAAGACAGCAATTTTTTTAGGGAAAGTGAGCGCAAGTTAGCTAACAAGTGGAGGAGCGCACGTTAAACTCCTCTTCGTGCCAAAAATTTAATAAATAAAAAATTTACAGCTCATAGTATAATAATCCGGCCATTTTCTCTAACGTGTTACCAAAAAGACTAGTGCATTTTGCCAAGTCTATGCATAGAATAAAATTTTCTAAAACAGGTAAAATAATACAAACAAAAATGTTAGGAAAAAACAAGACGAGTTCATATAGTAATTATCAACACTCCTTAATTTCCTTTGATACAGATACAACTCCGTATGTAATTAAATTATTATCATATTCTAATCACGATTTGATACGAGCAGATCAATTATGCGTTGGAGATCCCGTCCCGTCTCTCTGTTAATAGCCTAATACTCAAATTTTTTGTTTATGCTAAAAATTAAATAAGAAGAAGAAAATAAAATGAGATACTAGAAGTGTATGTATTAAAAACAAAAATAACACCCCTCCATTTACACGCACTCACACAGAGACACAAACAAAGAAAAACTCTCATCGGTTTTTTTTTTCTCTCTCCGACCTGAAAGAAAAAAAACAGTTGTATTCTATTCTATTTTTTTCAGGAATGAATCAAAGTCTTTTTCTGCAGACCCCAATCATATTGATCCGCTTTTTCCGATGACCGATGTTTTCACCATTTCTCTTTCTTCCACCACCACCGCCTCCGCTTCCAGTATCAGTATGTCGTTCTCCTTTTTTTTTTTTTTTGTCTTTGTTGTTGTTGTTATCTGTTTTCTTCCAATCGTTATCTTGTTCTTTCATTTCTCTATGAATGAGCGAACATTTTTTTTTGTTAATTTGATAAATTTGATTCACATTGTGGAGAAATTGGTTGTCTGTTATCTGTCGTTCATTGTTTCACGCGTTTTTGGACAATTTATAGTTGTGAAACTGTTAAACTGGTTTGAAGATCTTAAATGAGAGAGATATTTGATGAGATTTGGTCCTTCCGGTTTTAAGATGTTTAATTGCTCTTTGATATTTCATATTTTATTGGGTTTTGATCTCTGTGTGTTTTTCCCTGGTAAATGTAGGAGTTTGCTGATTGAATTGCCAGAGTGCAACCAATGGTGGTATAGACTTTAGAATTCTGAAAGCAAAAGAAATTGTCTGCGAGGCTGAGAAGACAGATTTCAATTCTTGTGGGAATATTGTTTTTCCGTTAAAGGGGGCCGAAGAATGTTGTCCAAAGGTGAACATCAGACGGTCCCGCTATCAGTGCTCCTAAAACGCGAGTTAGCTAGTGAGAAGATCGAAAGGCCCGAGCTCTCTCATGGTCAGGCTAGCCAGAGTAAGAAAGGAGAGGACTTTACACTGCTCAAGACCGAATGCCAGCGAGTTTTGGGCGATGGAGTCACCACTTATTCTGTTTTCGGGGTATACTCTTGTCTCCCTGACTATGTGTTTCTGGGTATTCCCTACTCGGTGGTACATAATGTGGAAGTACCTGATGAGCATTTATTGGTCTCTGATGCTTGTTGAATCCAGCTCCTTAGTTTTCGGAGTCTTATTTCCTATGTTGTCAATTCATTGGGAGTTTTTTTTAAGGCCTTCTTGAAATTGATGTTTTATCTGTTAAACGTTACTAATTTTTGAAACTTCAGTCGTCTTTCAGATGACTTTATTCCATCAAACTGTTAGCGGTTATGTCGAATGCAGTTTTCTCTCCTATTTTTTTTTTCTTCTTCATTTCTTTAAATAGCTATTTTCTCCCTTTATATGCTATTTGGCTTTCATTTGTGGGATACAGTGTAATGAAGGGAGACCGTAAAAAAGGAGCAACTTTTCTATTTGCACGTCTAGGTTTCTAATAGGTGACCTTTGCCTTTTGGTCTTGTAATTCCACAATGAGGGGCATGGTCCATGGAGTCTTCAATGGCTGCATGCAGGGTTCAAATGATTTTATCTCTTTGTTGTATGGCTATTTGCATCAAACGAGAATGACTTGAAGTTAGACTTGGGACTTTTAAGGATTGGTGTTCTGGGCAAATATAATCTTCCAGGCCAGATGTGTCTGTGACCAATGGCAATATGTAGAGGGGATAAAATTCTGTTTGTTAAGTCCCTTGTATTACTATTAGCCAGGGTTCAATTTATTCTCGTATTTACTGTTCTGGAAATGTCCTTGTATATTCCTGAATTTCAAACATTTCCTTTTGGATATCTGTTTTGCAGTTATTTGATGGACATAATGGATCTGCAGCTGCCATATATTCCAAAGAGAACCTCTTAAACAATGTTCTGGGGGCTATACCTGCAGACCTAAACCGAGATGAGTGGGTCGCCGCCTTGCCTAGGGCATTGGTTGCTGGGTTTGTTAAAACTGACAAGGATTTCCAAGAAAGAGGTAGTTTCTTTTAGTCCTTCAGAGTTACTGTAAAAAGTTGACATGGATATTTCATTCTGTAATAATGACTAGTTTTTGAAATTGTATGATCTATATTTTCCTTTTTCGCACTTTTTTCTGTGCATTTGCACGCCATGTAATGCTGATGTCTTGGCAGGCTAATCATTTGGCAATGGTTCGGTTAGTAATATAATTTGACTGTCGCTGATGTAGTGCTTTACTATGTATTTATGCACTCCTTCATTAGTTATGGAAGAACTGCCCCTCGTTATAAATGTGCTCTGGGTAACATAGTGCTCTGGGTAACACATCTAAAACTTATGGTTTTCAGTTATTAGTCATTAAGAAGGATGTCGGTTTGAGATGTAAAGAAGATATACCGGTCTTGTCGTCATTGGTTCTGACTTTGTTTAGAAACTTAGAAAAATATTTTCTAAGATACTTCCAAAATTTTGATGGTTTTTCTGTTCAAACTGGTTAAAAGTACAAATTGTTTAGCTTTTTCAGGTTCCCTACAGTTTTGTTAGGAACTGGTGATTTTTATTTACCTGAGTGGGCAAAAAGTGAATAGAATAGCTAGGACAGGATTTTGCGTATGCAGGTTACATTGCAGATATTAAGGATCTCAACAAATAGAATGCACAATAGCACATCCATCTGCTATGTCGTTCTTTCACACACAGAGATACACATAGAAACCATGCTTGCTATTGTTGACTTCTTTAGGATTTATCATTCGTGTTGCTATTGTTGGCTTCTTATGATTTATCATTCATGTGTCAGCCCAAACCTCCGGAACAACTGTCACCTTTGTAATAATTGAAGGATGGGTTGTAACTGTTGCATCAGTTGGCGATTCTCGTTGTGTGCTTGAATCAGCTGAAGGGGGAATACATTATCTATCTGCTGATCACAGACTCGATACCAATGAGGAAGAGTAAGCTAATTTCTTGTGAATTATTGGCACAAATATGAAACTGTAGTTTCTCATATTTTGAAATTTGTTTTGTCTCAAAACAGGAGGGAGCGTATCACCTCAAGTGGTGGTGAGGTTGGGCGACTTAATACCGGTGGGGGTACAGAGGTAGCTTTTCTTTCCTCTTGCAACAGAAAGTTTCTTGGTTTTAATTTCATCAAATTATTCATTATATTGATGTTGTTTTTAACATATTTCGATCTAAAAAGCTTTTAGTCCCTCTGGTCCTTCAGTCCAAATCTCTTAGTTCTGATCATGATCAGCTTGGATAATTTTACTGTTGATCCCTGACACCTCAGTTCTTAACTTCAACCAGGGTTTCTACTGTTCTCCTCTAATGTTTGTGAAATAACACTTTGCCCATTGCTCTATTAAATTCAGTATTCCTTTTTGTAGTTGTACAAGATGAGAACACAAGCTTTACATTTAACAATATTTTTTTCATGATTTCTTATGTTCTTTCTGATGGACTGCTATTTGATCTTGGATTGTTGTTTACTTTCACTTTAGATTGGTCCTTTAAGATGCTGGCCTGGTGGCTTATGCCTCTCCCGATCCATTGGAGATATGGATGTTGGCGAATTTATAGTTCCTGTTCCCTATGTGAAGCAAGTAAAGGTTTGTTTTTTAATTTTTTGTATTTTTTATTTTTATTTTTTTTAAAGTAAAGGTTTTGTATTCTGTTTGGTTAATCCATTAATGTAATTTCTGTATAAACTTATTGATTTCCAGCTTTCCTTTCAATTTCTCCTCTATTTCTTAGGAGTCATTCTTTTTATGTGTGTGGGATAAATCAATATAATTTATTTGTCCTTCATTTCTTTATTATGCCTTGACTTCAATGAGGCATATCCTTGGTATCATTTACCATGGCATAGCAAATGAATATGTAATAAGATCATAGAGTGGTGCGTTTGTTCATTTAGAACAAAATATAGTTGTTCGGCTTCCTGTCCCCCAACTAGTTTAGGACATGTGGCTACTAAATTTTATTTTTTGGATTGGTGAACTACTATGCCTTTTTAAATTGTCTTGTACAAAACTTTCTTTAAGTTTTTCTATATAACCGTTATCTGCTATCAAATCTTACAATGCTGGTATTCATGTGCAGTTGTCATCAGCTGGTGGGAGGCTCATTCTTTCAAGTGACGGTGTTTGGGATGCCGTGTCTGCAGAAGTGGCTTTTGACTGTTGCCGGGGAATGCCACCAGATGCTGCAGCCTCACAGATTGTCAAAGTAAGCATGTTGATGGTTTATTTTTGTTCCAAGTTTTTGTTGTTTTGTTTGATTTCTCTGAATCTGTTCGTTGCTTTACTATGTAGGAAGCTTTACAAGTCAAAGGACTTCGAGATGACACAACTTGCATCGTTGTTGACATAACACCACAAGAGAAGCCAATGCCTGCCCCCATCCCTCCTAAGAAGCAAGGCAAAGGAGTGTTCAAATCTATGTTCCGGAAAAAATCACCAGAATCTTCTTCTCAAGTTGAGAAAGAGGAGTTTATTGAACCAGATGTTGTTGAGGAATTATTCGAGGAAGGTTCTGCTTCTCTAGCTGAGAGGTTTGCTCTGAAAGAAATCTTTTGTTTGTTTTTGCTTGCAAAGAAACTCGCTTAAGGTGGTTTGGGCATGTGCGTAGGAGACCTGTGAAGGCTCCGGTTAGGAGGGTAGAAAGTATAGAATCTAGGACTCAAATAAAGAGGGGTAAGGGTAGACGGAAGAAAACTTGGAAAGAAACTATAAAAAATGATTTGAAATATTTAAATTTGAGAGATGATTTATGTAATAATCGAGCACGATGGCGACATATGATCCATATAGCCGACCCCACCTAGTGGGAAAAAGGCTTGTTGTTGTTGTTGATGTTGTTGTTCACAAGTATAGTTTTGTATCTTGATCCAAGACTGCGAAATCACATTCATTTTTTTTCTTTATTTCTTTTGTAGCTTTTTGCTAACTTCCTTGCACGATACAGGTTGGATTCTAAGTATCCAGTGTGCAATATGTTCAAGTTGTTCATGTGTGCGGTTTGCCAAGTAGAAATAAAGCCTGGAGAAGGTATTTCAGTACATGCAGGCTCAAAGAATACAAAAAAATTACGGCCTTGGGATGGTCCTTTCCTTTGTTCAAGCTGCCAAGACAAAAAAGAAGCCATGGAGGGTAAAAGACCTTCTGGTGGTACGTCACCTTTTTTCCCCATACACCTCTAGACAGTCATATGTGATGTAATTGCATATTGATCATGTTTTTTTACTTTTTCTAGATGGGAGATACAGTAGCGGGAGTGACTAATCAATCTCTTGTATTACATGTCTATAAGTTCATCACTAACAATTATCGGTGAGCTGATTATAATTGGGAGAAAGGCCAACATCTTTGGTGGAAATTTTCTCAAGTTCCCCTTGAAAAATAGTGCGAGTATGTGGATCCTATGTGATATAGCTAAAAGATGGAGAAGATCTTTTCTCTCATGCCTCTGTCATTCTAGGCCAGAGTATATGGTGACTTAAAACGCTATGTAGGATAGTTTCTTCTTTCTAACAATGATTTATGCATGGAGTTTGCCTTCCTCCATCTGAAGATGTACAAGGCGATCGTAATTCACAAGCACGTGGTGACATATTGGAGATAATTCATTGACCGACGGATATATTCTTCTTCTGTATACTTGTTTTGCTTCCCATAGAGCTAAAAAGATTGGGGAAAGAGTTCTTTAGTATATGTCATATACAGAGGGTTTGAGTAGAATTGTTAGATTAATTTATTCATTTAATATTAATTTTCTCCTCGCAGAACACCATTCCTAGTTCTGCTCCGATGTTTCTTCATGTAACAATCATTTTGTTCATCCCTCCTGAAGAAAAATAACACTGCAATCAGAGATTCTTTTTTTCTTCTTTTCTCCGCTGTCTGCATCACATTGTCTGAGAGCTTTGAATATTTAATCAGACATTAAGACATTAACTGATGAATTGTCTGTTGCCCAGTTCAGTTGTTGCACTTACCCCGTTTTAAATGTTACTAAACTGTCATGCATGGAGTCAAACAACAGTGCTTGAGGCGATTTTGAGTGTTTCAGTTAACTGTGCTTGTTTAGGATAACAAAGTTAAAAGGTAACTGAGTTTGGCCAGTTACTGTTGACTGTTTTATTGGCTGTATATCATTGAGGTTTAGGATTTTTTGCTTCTGATCAGAACGAAACGTTGGTTGCGACTCACACGTTTCGACGTCGACATCCAAGCAAAACGAATGGTTTATAGCTAGCATTCATTGTGTTCAGTGCATGTAGGCAGGCAGTCTTTTTGTATTTAAGCACACGAGTCTCTCGTCTGTTGTTGTCTGGTTGTCTGGGGCATCAGTGAGAAAACTCAGTACTGGTTTAGTTTATGCCACCGAGAAGTGATTCTGTAGCTGAGCCTATCTGAAGGAGTTTTGAGTGGAAGAGAAATGTTCTTTGACCAAAAATCTGGTTGATGACGATTTAAGAGTTCATTGCTTCTGCTAAAAAAAACACTATTTCTAGTTCTACAGCATTATTGTTAGGCCAGAGTGTATGATCTGTCACAATATATGCTTATCCACCGTGATTAAGGAGAACTGAAAAGGCTAAAAAAACTTGCTTAAATTGAGAAAACATGCCTCTTCATCACGTAAAGCTCTATGTTTCAATAAAGCTAACATTTTTAACAGATTATATGGGAGAAGATCTGAGTAAAGTAAAGAGCTTCATTAGTTCATCTGTCTTGTAAACAAAATGAAAGGACGAGGGAAAGATGCAAAAGGGAATTATAGACGGAACAATTATTTTAGATCGGAGGGAAATTATGGAACAAAGAAAACTAAAAAAAGCCGGCTTTCACAATCAAACCAGCAAAGATCCTTTTGGTGGGAAATGCAGAACCTTTTTCTTCTTTTTCTGTGATTCTGCTTTATGGGTTTTTTTGGCCACTAAGCCATATATTTGAATTTCTTCAACGAGTCTTTTTGTGTGCTTTTTTTTTTTTTTTTTTTGGTTCCTCTAAAAGACAGAAGTGGTCATAGGAAGACAAGCCAGCAAGCAACATGGTGTAAGACAAAAACTTTGCAATCTCCCTTTTCCTTTCCTTCCTTTTTCTATTCTTCCCCTTCTTCCCTTATCTTTTTAGTTTTGTACAGATTTAAACATTTTTTGAGCTTAAATTTTTGAGTGGTTTTAAGTGGAGAAGATGAGTCGGTCAGTCTGTCCACCCTCCCAAAGAAAAAAATTAAAAATAATGGCTCCATGATTGAGATGTTGACCTCAACTTTACAAACAAAATACTCTTCTTATTCTAACATGGAGCCGTGGACCATTCCTTACACGTGTGTTTGGTCCTACTGAAATACTACTACAAATCCTTTTTACCAAACAAGCTAGTGTATTATGTTCTTTCTCCCCTTTCTTCATCAATCAAGTCTTTTCTAGTTTTTTGCTTTGCTTTCCCAACCAAATTCCTGGTTTTCTTCTTGCATGGCAGCTGTGGTTTTTTTTTTAATCACCGTTAAAGCTTAGAGCCAATAAGAAATTCATGGATTTCTAGTTGTAAGACCACTAGTGAATGGTTTTTAATTTGAAATGTCATACGTTATAGTACTGGACTCTGTATCACAAAAATAGTCCACATTGAATTTTTAAATTTGTACTATAAGTAATACAAAATTCAAAACTCAATGTGGACTACTTTTGTAAGACATAAATAGTATCGGAAATCATGACAATTAGTGGATATGATAAAATTTTGTCATGAATATTATTAAGTTCTACAAAATTATAGAGGAGTTATCATTATAGGATTTTTTCTGTATTTCACAACTCAGCTTGGGACTTGGGTTGTTGACAAATCATTACCTAAGGAAATTAGAGTGTAGTTAAAATAGTTTCTGACAAGATAGATAGTTTGCAAATTAATATACTGATCAGTGATCAAGTACTACTAATACTAGTAAGTAATTTTTGGAAGAAGTGACACAATTTTATGACAAAATATTTCGAGTGAATTTAATTTTATGGCCAATTGTTAGCATGTCTTGCGATAGCTTAGGACCTTCTTTGAGGGTTTTCACTGTTTTTATTATTGCTGATTTGTTTGGTAGGTAACTAGCTCTAGATTTCTTTTCTTTTTTAGATCTCAACGATTCAATTGTCCAATATTGTTCATGAATCATGAAATGAAAAAATATCTTTTCTATTAGAGCATTTATTACCGAGGTAGGTTGGAAAACGAGACCTTGTTGAAGAGAATAAAAAACAGACCTTAATTTCAAAGTCTCTTCATGTTCTTGTTGTCATTATGATGAAGTCAAAAAATGGTGGGGGCTAAATGGCACATTGACGACAAACCATGAAATGAAATTTGCAAATTTTTTTCTTTTTGCAAACAAAGAGCATTAATAATGCAAAATATCAAACACTTGTGTAAAATTCTTTAGTTTTCATACCACTACATTGTACTTTCACCTTTTATTTCTCCGATTTAACCTCAAGTCATCTTTTCATGACTCTCAATTGAGAAAGATCCCTTTGTCCGAACAAGATCGTTGAAAGTTTCGTGCTCCAGACGATTTTATTTTTCTATTTGACACGTTGATATAGATACCAAGAAAAGAAAAAAGACCCTCAATTTTCTAAACCTTAGATCATATCAATAATCATGAAAACAGAAAGACAGACAATGATCTTCTCTTAACTAATTGTAGCATTGGACTACAATTGCTTTCCCTCAAAATCTATGGCAATACAAGGTTCAAGGCAACTCTATTATGGCACTCCTATTTACATTTTGTGCTTGTCGATATTCTTTCCATTCTAAAATATATAATTGTCTTATTTTAATTTTTCAGTTTATAATCTAAATTAGACAGTCATTTTAAAAGAGGTGACGTACATTACAAAATTATAACACTGAAAAATGTAGTAACACAAACTAGAGGAATGGTCTCTTGTGGAAAGAGATTGCTCTTTGGGTCAAAACCTAAGAAGTAATCTGACTATGGTTTGTTAGTACAATAATAGTACTCTATGATTGATAATTGCAGTTGCTTTAAGGACTTCTTTTGATTTCTGAAGAGATCTACCGTCAGAGATTCTCATCTTGAGTGTTGTAAAAAGAGCTTTTCTTAACATCATTTGAGAACAACAACCATTCCTCGTACCTTGTACCAGTAAATCCATGGAAGAATCAGTTTAAAAAGTTGAGAGCTAACATGTTTTATCAGAATATATATGCTTTTGCCAGGGCTACATTCCTCCTACCTATATTCTACTACTACTACTACTACTACTACTTTTTTTTTCTTCATTCACCAGATTTTGGCATAAAACGTGTATTTTTGTACCCTTTCCTCAAATCATGGACCCCCTTACCCCCACATGCCATCTTTTTAATAATTATAATAATTCATGGGTTTATATAATTCAGAAGAATACTATAAACAATAATATCAAACAGTAACACACAAATTCCACAGCATAGGACACCTCCAACCAGTTCAGAAACAATACTAGCTACTTGAGGCCTACTACAGCTTTTTTTTGCTCAAGTGTTTGTTCCCTTCTTCCCCTTCCTTCCCTCTCTCTTATCCCTCTCCACAAAACTTCTTGATATCCTTATCTATTATTATTCCTCCCCAAGAAAAGAAGAAGAAGAAGAAGAAAAAAAAAAGAGAAAAATTAGCCCTGTTGCCACCACATTCTGAATAGATTAAAATTCCCATATTTTGGAGGCTAATTTTTGGATTGTTTCTAATGGAGATTATTGATTGCCAACATCAGAACATGAGACAGAAAAACGAAGAAGAACCAGATGAAGATGAGCTGAAGAAGCAGCAAGAAGGAAGAACAAGAACAGAAGAAATCCAACAAGAAAATAAACAGCAGCAGCAACAGCAACCATCTCCAACTTCATCTCCTTCTCATGAATTTTCTTTTACAATTTCTCTACAACCACCACAAATATCTTCTTCTTCTTCTTCTTCTTCTTGCTGTTCATCATCTTTAGTCTCATCAAGTTGTGATAAAACCACAACCACTTGTAGTAGTACTAATACAACATCAGCCTCTGCGGAAAAATCCACGTCCAAATCGTCTCCACCTTCATTTGCACTGGATTTATCTCCGGCTGATGAAATCTTCTTCCATGGCCATTTACTCCCTCTCCACCTCCTCTCCCACCTACCCGTTTCGCCCCGTTCTTCCACGAATTCTTTAGACAGTTTTACCCTCCCAATCAAAGATTTACATCATCATCATGATCATCATCATCATCAAGAGAAAAACTCAACATCCAATCAGAAAGTTGGTCAAAACAACCCAATGAACAGAAGAATCATTGATGAGTACTACGAAACAAGAGATCAAAGGAACATTAATACAGGACGGCCAACGAAATCAAAATCCTTTTCGCTTTTCGGGTTGTCTTCAAAATGGAGGAAAGATGATCACACGGTTATTACAAAGGAAAAGGAAGACAACAACAACAACAACAACAAAGAGAGACAAAAAAGGAAACTGAAACTGGACAACGTGAGTCATGTGTTGAAAAGGTACATGAGAATGGTTAGGCCACTTTTATCATCATTCGGGAATCGAAGAAATAATAACACTGGTGATGTACGGTATCATCACCGTGAAGGGTTTTCGTATTCCGGGAATCTGAGTCTCCGGCGTAAGCCGGCGGAGCTGATTGTCGGAAGAAGAGGTGAGTTTTCGGCTCCGGCATCGATGAGGACTTCTCCAAATAATAGTGGGATTTTGGTGGCTTCGGGTCCTCTTTCGCCGACTAACTTTAGTACTAAAAGTGATAGTACAATGGAAGAGTTGCAGGCTGCAATTCAAGCTGCCATTGCTCATTGCAAGAATTCCATTGCTGTGGAAGATAAGATCAAGTGTCCAGCTGAACCATGAGTACTTAATTAGAGATACTATCTGGAAATGTGTAGTTTTTTTTTTTTTTTTTTTGGGGAAAATTAATTATTTTTGTATCAAGAATGAATACATAGATATGGATGGGGGAAGGTGTGGGAATAGTAAATTTGGTAATTGTATAAAATTCGCATTATTCAAGTGTATTCATTTGACACTACCTTGAGTATTGTTACTGCTAGTTACTTTAATCGGGATAATTTGTTTTTTTTTTTTTTTTTGGTATCTGAACTCATTGCCACAAACGAGATAATTTGTGGCTAATTTGGATTCAAAGTAGACAATTTCGATAATTATTTCAATCTTTCAATGGGAAAATTGTAAATTTGGGGGGTAATGTCAAAAGGACATTCTGCTCTTAATCAAGAACCATTCTTACCTTTTTTTTTTCACTTGTTTCTTGAGTGGCCAATTCTCTTAACCTAAAAAGACACGTAGAAGTGTTTACCACGTCAAGATGAAAATGAACTTTGATAATAGTTTTTTACTCAGCTCAGAAGAATATGTGTTAAGTTAGCATCTTGCAAAGTGGTCAATACTTTTTATAGGAGGGATATCGAATTCAGTTTTATGAAATGTGGAAGATTGTTATGCTAAGCACATTTCTTTTGTTGGGACAGTGAGAATACTAAATTTGATTTGGTATATATATATTTATGAAATTCTAATCTTTTGATTTTTTGGTTGACCAATAAATTAACAGTCAAATCTATCGTTTTTATTTTCCGAGACACTATCTTACATTTAATTGGTTGAATGTAATAAAAAATTGAATCCTTTAAGTGAACTGAACCAAATTTTTCCAAGGATGATGGTCTTATCATTTGAGTTTTGGTCGAATAACGAGTTCCAACTTGTGAATTTTCAAATGACATGAGAAACTCGGTTGTTGAGTGTACCAATACGATATTGTCCTTCAAATCATGGCTTTTCAGATTTTCAATAAACGACCGCAGACCAATTTAGTCTTTAACAAATAAACTTTAACTAATTAATTAACGCCCATCATCATTATAGAATCATTTGCACAATCAATATAGCATATATAGTAGTACTACCCCATTTTCTTCTTCTTTTACTATATCTTAACCAAAAAAAAAAAAAAAAAGTGTTCTAAAAAGGCATACGGGCGACTTGGACGAATGCCTTTCTTTTGAACAAAGATCTCTGAGCAATTATACACTCCTTCTGTTCAGTAATAATTAAAAATTTAAATTGCATAATTGTTTCAGGACGGAGAGAATATACTTTTATAAACAAACTTAAAGACAAGACCTGGTTAAGGACACTTGGTATACATACCAATAATTGTTAGTTAATATATCAACCCTTAAATTTGATGAACAATAAGTCATTTGATTTTCTGGATAGAGGTTCATCCAGGTGTTTCGAGGACTCGAAGGTATACGACAATGAAGAGAGAATTATGAGTTGGGGACATATAAAAACTCATACATACGTTAAATAGAAGACAAAACAAAGGAGACCCTTTTCACAGCCAGCCCCGATCTACCTATATCTTTTTTGCACAATGTTTTTTTGTACTGTCTGCATCGACTAAATTGTGAGTACTACCCCCACTCGTGAAGAAGGGCTTATAAATCATAATATTAATTGCATTAAAAAAAAAAAAACTAGCTGACTCTATAGCTAGGGGACCATTACAACACGTAAAAGAGCCCGTCATATGAGCATAATAATGGAACTCAAAAAAATGTATACATATGATGATGATGATTAAGTGCATATATCTTTCTGCTGGTAGAATATTCAAAGACGGGGAGGAGAAAAGGGAAGGGTTGCTTTCAATGTGTGCATGCACAAAACGCAAAATTCTTTTGTTTTGATTTGATTATTCAATTTACATATATATATATATATATATATATATATATATAATGGCCAATTGGCCAAACGAAGGGCGCCGTGATGACAGTGAAGAACAATTGTGACAACTCCTCTCTACCTAGGTGGTGGTTATGAAGAAAAAACATTCAAGTTATAGTGCTATATGAACCCCACACTACGAATTTCTCTTTCACTTGTGACAATAAACTTTGTTTGAAACGTTTCTTTAATGTACGTTTTGATACAAAATATGAAAAAGTATATTTAGTAAGGTAAGAAGTCGATTGAAAATTAAAAACAAAAATGAAAAAAAAAAAACACCTCAATAAGATGTATAAAAAAAAGTTTGAACCCTAGAAAACTTTTCCACGAAAATTTTGACACGAATTTGTTTAGTGAGTACTCCCTCTTTACTGTAATTATTGACCAGTTTGTTATTTCACTTTTAACATAAATTGTATAGAAAATGAAAACTGAAACTGAGCAATCATTTTAGAACCGAAGGAATATATATGTGATGTCAACACATGGATGATTGAGTGAAACAACTTATAAGCTAAATTTTTTTTTCTTTAAAAAAAAAAAAACTTTATCAATAAAGATTGATAAGGATGGTCAATGGACTCACAATAAAATCACATAATAAACTATATTAATTAATGGAAAAAAAAAAATCAAAGTCATCTCTTCTTGTGTTCCAATGTTAAAAAAACAAAATACTAACTCTCATCCTACTTTGAATTTACTACTCTTAGGAGTTTGGAAAAAGGAGAAGCAAGTATGAAAAAGGGGGTGCAAACTGCAAAAAGTGGTGTGGGGTCTTTACTGACTTGACAGATATGGAATTTTTGCATAGGGAAAAAACTGAAAAGGTACCAAGTACAGCTTCCATGATTGAAGACAACCAAACACCGCATGTGGTACTACTACTTGTGGTCTGGAAATAGAGAGTAATTTGTATATCAATGATGATGAATCAAATGTACAGATTCAGCTTTTGTAAAACATATAGAATAACATTCATAGTATAGTAGTACCCCTGATGGCCTGATCGACCCACTCACCACTCGATTTTAATGATTACGTACTTTAGAATATTTAATTATTAAGTTGAGGCGCTGAGTTTGATGCTGATCATGATGATGATCATCATTTGTAAATGATTTGTAAAGACGATGATCGGCAGTCTGATTGATATGATTTCTTTATCTTTTTGTTTTTGTTTTTTGTTTCTTAATTCAAGGGATATGTAAGAAAATCTCGAATTTTTGACAAATTTTTATGAGACAGATTTAGTAATGACAAATGAAGTGATCTTAAAGCATATTGTAACCTCATTCTGTCCAAAAAACTTAGTCACGTCTATTGACTAAAAATAGTGTAATAAACACGACTCTTTTGTAAACAAGGGAGTATTAGTATTATTTTTTCCTACTACTCCCTCCGTTTCAAATTATGTGTCGTTTTAGCAAAATAGAAAAATTTTATAAATAAGTGTCGTTCTCACATTTCAATACATTTTTTGTCCAAAGTTTCCAAAATTACCCTTGAAAGAATTAATATTATTGGTAGATATTTTTTTAATGGGGTTGGTTGAGGATATTCAAGTATTTTTATTACCCTATTTAAGAGTTTCTTAAACTATGTGCAAAGTGTAGAATGACACTTATTTTAGAATAGAGGAAATACTGTTTATTTCGATTTCCTACATAAAAAACTAAATGCAGCAAAATATGAATGCATGAACCAAAACACTACATATAGGCTTTAGTACAATGCATCCATGGATGATGAGGCAATTTTGAGATCTATAGTTACCGGTAGTCTTTGAAGATAAGTCTCTTTTCTTTCATACTCTTTCGGTTCTAAAAAAAATAGTCAGTATTGAATTTTGAGATTTATTTAAAAAAATTGTACAACTTTTGATTAGTGGAGTTGAAAAAGATTTTGTTCAAAGTTCATAGAACACATTCTATGAAATTTGAGGCCTTTTTTAATGTTTTTCTAAAATTATGTTCTTAAAGTAGAAATATAATATAACAAAAATTTAAGGGCTTATAGGGCAGAACTAGCCTTTAAAACCTATGATTGCTCAACTCTATCGAGGAAAAAGCAATCGATCTCAAAGATGAAATAGCATTGACGAGACATTTTATGATTTGGCATTGCAAAAATGTATGTCAAACTGGACGAATTTGTTTTTGATTTTTTTTTTTTTTGGATTTAGATAGTGTGAATGAAAATTTTGTAGAGAACACACACACACACACACACACACACACATATATATGAACTTTTGAATTTATTTGTCTTTCGTTTTGAACATAACTTCTGAATTTCATTTTTGAAGGGATAACTTTTGAATTTCATTATTATTAATTTGAGTTTTTGGTTTTAAGAAGATAGACTAGTCAACACCAATTAAGAATAAATTATATAGAGTGCAGACTTAGAATATATGCACGTCATTATTATAAATAAATTCAAAACTTTCAATTTAATTACATAGCCCAAATGAAAAGATCCAACATTCTTCATCTCCCCCATTCCAATATTTACAGTAATACTTCCGCTAAACCAATCTCCACCGCCACGGCTAACTAACTCTTCACCAGCATCACCGAACTTCCCAACATATTTTCGAGCTCCATTGGAGATGCTAGCAATTGACTGAAGACTACATATAGGGGTTGGTCGGAAACACATACTCTCTCTGGTTATTATTAGACACTTTGATTTGTTATGAGATTAACTTAGTATATTTTTTCAATTGAAAAAAAAAATTTAAAAATGTATTTTAGGTATTTTTTCAATTAAAAAAACGTATTAAGTAAATCTTAGAACAGATCAAAATGTCTTATAATAAGAATCAGTTTGTCAGCCGAAGGTGCTCAACCTCCAAGGCTCTATGTAGTTCCGGTAGGCCAAACACAAATTTGTTTGATCAGCCAGCTTTTCCATACCCCTTCCGCAACAGGTTGGTTTAAATCGAATACAAATGGATAGTACAAAAGAAGAAGGCACGAGCAAGGGAATTGATCATGGATGAATTTGAAAACTGCAAAAGGAAGATACACGCAAAATACAAGGAGAAACCATTCAACTCTATAGTGGAGCTATGTTCTAGACTTTTAGCTGGATTACAAGATAATTTGCATTGGGGCTTAAGAACATTGGAGGAACCATGATCGGATTTTAAATTTACTCTCTCTGTCCCAAAATTATTGTACAATTTGGGTTTTCATTTCTAGTTCAAATTGTACTAAAAGTGAAATCTCAAACTGGACAATAATTTTAGGACGGAGGGAATATAATCTAAACTAGATGGTGCAATTTTGAGCTACATAAATCAAGCTCAACTTATATTTAATCTAATCGATGTGGGTTTTGAGTGTTACACTTATTTACAATCACTATGTTAATCAAAAGTTATTTAATGAAACTTGATAAATTTGTCTAGTTTTTATGTGGTCAAATCAAATATTTTTTTGATTAATGATGTAAAAAGATCATTCATCAAAAGTTTTGAAAAAATTTTAAAAATTAGTTGTTAAAAGTTTTAATGAATTTCCCGACCAAGTCATTATTTCAATCAGACATTTAGTCTCAGATAAATCGTTTTGCATAGTTGATTTTGTTTCCTGAGTGAAATATTTTCTTTTTTTCGGTTTATCAGCAGAGAAATAAGCACAGACCAAATGTGGGAGATCAAATCCTCTAGAAAGGCAAAGAATCCTCTGCCCCAACCCAAGAGCAGGAGATAAGTTCATCGAGCCCACAAAATTAAAATATCGTCTGCCCAACAACATCACCCTTATCTGATCCATCCTTATTAAAAGCCTTCTCCCTCATTAACTATGTCAATCTGATGTGGCATTTCATTAATTTCTGCACATATTTATGTTTTCAATTCAATAATTTTTTCTCACAACTCATCATTAAAATTCACCACTTTGATCAAATTTTTGATATCTCTTTTTTGCCTACTTATGGTTGGTATTTAGTTATGAGGCATTTTCTTTTTCTGTTTTATTTCCTACTCTGAAATCTTTGTAAATTTGTCATTCGATTTTCACTATTTTTTTTTTGACTTCCAAAATTTTTAATATTTGCAACGAAAATAATATGACAAACTTATGTTTTTTTTTTATTTTTTTAGTGTATTTTTTAAGTATTTTTTGTATTGAGAATGTAAAAAGATGTATTAAAAATGTAAAAAGATATGCTGAGATGGGACAGTTATTATTATTTAATTCTGAAAAAACCAACTAAAAAAGAAAACAAACAAAGAAAGTTCATGACGAATTTTTCCATATCATTATCTTTATTCATTTTGTTCCATGCAGTATGCAGACAAAAAGGGACTGCTAGAATCAAAGAAAGGAAAACTTCTGTTATTTAACAAGGTACCAATTAAAAGCTTGGCTGCATGAACTATTTTGCTTAACTTGTTGTGCTTGAAGCCCAAAAATTATGCTCTATTTTGCACATAAAAGCCAAAATGATATACGGAGTACTACTTATTTTGTACGAGATTGAGTTCAAATAACCATACTCATCCCTTGCTCTTGAAATGTTTCTCTTGAGGAAAGTTGCAATGGTACTTTTCTTTGTTACAAAATAAAATTAGAACTAATAAGTAGTTAAATTAATTTGGGTAGGGACTGCTAACAATTGAAACTTTAGAGGTTGTTTTGATAGAAAAAAAAATATTTTCAAGATGGATATTTACTCGAAACATTTTTCATATTCATATGATTTATTGCAAAAAAAAAATAAAAAATGTTAGATTGTAAAATCTTTTGGATATTTTCTTGACGTGACATTGGAATTGTTTATTTATGACTCATGCAACTTCTCACAAGAAAGCAACTATAGTTGTATTTATTAGGTTATCCTTCACAAATAAACTATATTTGCTTAGGTTAATCTATCAATAAGAAGACTATCTATAAAATACATGGCATCATCAAATTACATTTTGAGAGTGATTTGTTTTATTCTCATCTCACGGAACTAGCTAATTTACATAATTTTGGTCTTGAAATTAGTTACTATATACTTTGAACTTATAGACTACCGATATGTTACGTTACTAATTAAAATAAAAAATGATAAAGGAATTAAAATTTCATATACATATGTTCTAAAATAGATTTAAAATTTCATAAAGGAATAAAAAATGTAACTATATTTCGATTTTCCCCTGATAATAATACTACTACTAACAAAAAAGTTCCGTAGAATAATTGCAAGTTTATTCCCCAAATTTCTTTCTTTTTCCCAATTTTGACCATTGCCTCCGCTTCAAAGCCAGCCCATTTGGCAAATTGGCGTTACTGTAGTAACATATTTATGAACTTTCTCTGTAGAAGTAAAAGCGTTACGTATTGGAAAATCATTGGATTGTAAGACAAATTGACAAAAACGAATTGGTGATTCAATTGATTGCGAGTGTTTGAATGATTTTTAATCTGACGAGACTGGCACATTCCAATGATGTAAAAGGGAATATCCTTCCACATGCTTACCAACCCTTTTCTATCTCTCTCTCCCACCCCGGCTTCAGTCTTGGCGGTTTTGTTCTTATTTTTTTTGAGCGTTTGATTGCAATTTCGTGATCTTTGCCAAGATTTATGAGCTGGGTTTGATCCCCTTTTGGAGAAAGATTGTTCCTTTGATTGAAGTTTGTTGGATTGATTCATTTGGATTTGGCGCACTTGTGCAATCTTGCGGGAGAGGGATTGATTGAATTTTGAGGATCTTTAGTCTATCAGGCAAGGTTACTTCATTCTTTATCTATTCTTGTTTTGTTCAAGGAATACTTGAATTATAGTGTTTTTTGTGATTCTTATTTTCATTGAGGAATTTTGAAAATTGAATTTGTGAGCCCTGAAAAGGGAGGAAAATGAGGTGAAAATGGGGAGGAGTGTGATGATCATATTGGATTGAGTGTAATTTAAGGTATTTAGTTACATGCAATGGAATTGAATGTAGTTTCTGAGTTGAAAAGACGTAGTTTTGATTGTGTTAAAGGTTGGAATGTGCATTTCTGCTTTGTTGCTTATGTCTAGTTAGTTGTTTGTTTAGTGGGGAATATTTAGAATTTGGAGAAGATGAGAGCTGTAAGAGGAATAGGAAGTTATATAAGTAGAAGTGTTTATACTGTTTCGGGGCCATTTCATCCATTTGGTGGTGCAGTGGATATTATTGCGGTTGAACAGCAAGATGGGACCTTTAAGTCATCTCCTTGGTATGTTAGGTTTGGCAAGTTTCAGGGGGTTTTAAAGGCAACAGAGAAAGTGGTTAGCATTAGTGTCAATGGGGTTGAAGCCGATTTTAACATGTATTTAGATCATAAAGGCGAAGCGTACTTTCTCAAAGAGGTGGATTTTGGAGAGGGGGATGCCGTATGTTCTCCCTCATCTTCTGGTGAGGATACTGATGGACAGTCCCATGACGGAAGGCCAGTGAAATCAAAAAGTTGCAATTATGATGCGTTAGAATCGTCTTCTCTTGAACCAGTTGATCTAAGCAAAGGGAAAGTTCTAGCGAGGACTAATTCTCGGCATGCTCGTATCCTGGGGCTAGTGTTTGGTAGGAAGGCAATGAAGAAGGACACTGCACCTGAGGAAGAGAACAATGGTGGTGTCATTAGGTCAGAGTCATTGGAGCGAGCTGAAATTGCAGCTGATCTTTTGGAGGTTAAATGGTGCACCAATCTTGCCTCCCCTAAGAGTAAGAAAGAAAGTCTCTCACTACTGTCTTCCCAACCTAAATTGGAGTCTAATGATAGTGAGGACAATGTAATAAATGATTCAGATGATAACATCCTACAGAGTGGAAAGTCTGAACAAGTTTATGTTGAAACTGTGCACACTACTGGTGTTGTGTGTCAGGTGAATTCTCAAGCTGAAACTAGTTTCAAAGAAAAAGGATCTTCCAGCATTGGAGATGATTTTGAAAATGAAAATGTTGCAGTTTCTACCCTTGATGAGAATACTCCTGAAAATGCTGCAGTTTCCTCAAGTTCCACAGGAAATGGTTTTGTAACAACCTATGCACAGACAGTCACTCTCCAACCTGTATCTGGTTGTGGTCAAACCATCGAGTCTCGGAGCATTGTGACAATCTCTACATTAAGCAATGCAACTTGTCAATCCCTTGGGGAGGAAACTAGTTGTGCAGAAGAAACTAGTAGTGCAGAAGACAAACAAAGAGAGTCTGAACCTCCTATGAAGCCTGTTCGTGGTTCTATCCAGCTAGACATCTTAACATCTGAAATAACAGAAGAAGAACAATTGCTTTTTGGCGACTTTGATGATTTCAGTGCAGTCAAAGAGATGGAGGAACCTATTTCTCCAGAATGCGATGTGAAAGAAGGTGATCCCCAGCTTTCAGAAATAGAACCTGAAAAAGACCTAAGGAGGAAGTTAAAGTCCATATCCAGCCATATCAATATTCCCGCTACTGGTGGAGCCAAATCTGAAGTAACTTTGAGATATGCAAGATCTTTGCCCAATATGCCATCAAATAAATATACTCCGACTGCAAGTGATTATCAATCACTGAACAAATGCAAATCTTTAAGCAGTATGAAGAATGAAGCAGCCACTGATAGCCAATATCAGAACGAGTTAACAGCTGAGGATGCTAACACTACAGCTAAAGGTGGATTAATTAATTCAGCTATTGGTATGTTGAAATTTTGTTTCAAGTTTTTCATTGTTTCTTTCTGACTGAGTTGCTGGCACTCTTTCTTTTAATTGCATGTTCAATGCATTAGGTTTTCACGTACCTGATTTAGGCTCCCATGCTGTAATTTAGAGAGATTTTTTCTTCATTTTTCTAGTTAAGTAAAATGATTTTGATGAATAAGAGCCAACAAGTGCTTTAGAGCAATGCTTTTTGTACAAACATGCTTTTTATGTTGGGACAAATAATCTTTAAGAATGTGTTGGGCAGTGTGGTCTTTTTCTTTAATTTTTTTTTCGGAGGAATGGTCTTCTTCTTTCTAGTTATCAAGAACTTTTAAAGATTCTCCTTTTTCGACTTTGCTCCTTTTTGATGTGAAATGTGATGCTTTTAGATACTACAAGAAGCAATACCTGCACCGAAGATAGAAAGGATCTGCCGAAATTGAAGCTTAACAAGAAGAAAACAAGGTCCATAGTCCCAACATCTGAGCAATTAGCATCTCTGAATTTGAAAGAAGGGATGAATTCAATTGTATTCACATTCTCAACTCCAGTTCTTGGGAAGCAACAGGTCATCTTAGAGACACTTTCTGACCCTCTCAGCTACGAATTTGTTACATCCGCTAGCAGTTCACTTCTCCTAGTATTTGGGTGTATACTGATTTTACTGCATATTATATCCAGGTTCATGCTCGAATTTATTTGTGGAAGTGGGACGCTCGCGTTGTGATATCTGACGTAGATGGGACCATCACTCGGTAAGTGTCTGTTGATATTAGTTCTTTCTAGAGCTTTAAATCTTCTGAATTTCGTGCAACTAAGCATATGAAACTTGAGCATGTTTTAGATATGCGTTTTCTGTAGGAAAACTATTGTGAGAAAAAGATGTATTGAAATGTTAAAATAGATCACACTTTGAAGGTTAAAAATTTAGAACTTCTGGATGAAGATATCATGGTAGAAAATAAGGGGAAATCATAGAATTACAACTAAAGTCAGCTACTGCATTGTTTGTTCAGCTTCAGCTCTTAAGCTATATGCAGATTATTTTTCGCAGGACTGAACCATAATTTGAGTGAATGTGTAGTTTGAACCTTGTAATCTTAGGTGATTAAAAAACCATATGATCTTAGAGTGATAGAGGCAGCAGGAAAAGAGTGGAGATATTCCTGCCACTTAGTGAGTACCCTTTGTACTTGTATTGTTCTTATAAGACATTAATGGGTATTTATATATAGGTTCTTGCTTGTGTAAATTTGATTAGGTGTCATTTTAAATTTTGTATTTATTTTCTTCTTGGTTTAAGGATTTTGAATCTACTGCTCAAATCTAGGCCCCAGTTATCTGTAGACTTTTCTTAATGTTTGTGCTGTTTAATTATGTAGATCTGATCTTCTGGGACAGTTTATGCCTTTGGTTGGAGTTGATTGGTCTCAAACAGGTGTTGCACATCTCTTTTCAGCTATCAAGGTATCCTGCCTCGTAATATTACAACATTGTATATAGGTCTTTGAACCAAAAAAAAAAAAAAAAAAAGATAAAAAAGTCTTTGAACAGACCATGAAGTAGTAGAACCACTAAAGCTTGTTGATCATGTTCGTTTCCAGTGCCAGCTAGATATTCTTGATGCATTTATTTGGTGAATTTGATTTTTACAGGAGAATGGCTATCAATTGCTTTTTCTCAGTGCACGTGCAATTTCTCAGGCTTACCGTACAAGACAATTCTTATTTAATCTAAAGCAGGTGAACTTTTCACAAATTTGAAATTTTACTTTTGTCGATATGTCCATTTGAAAGTTATCATTTTGTTTTCTTATGTGCAGGATGGAAAATTCTTGCCTGAGGGACCTGTCGTTATATCCCCAGATGGTCTTTTTCCTTCTCTCTATCGAGAAGGTATGTCTTTGGCGTCCTTTCTTACTTCATACTAGCATGAATTGTCTATGGTTACCAGAATCAAAATAGTACAAATAGTTATCTTTCTCCCTTACTATGAAATTTTATTACGCTTGGAATCTTAGTGTAGAGTAAAGTTCTGGATATCAGATTATTTTCAAATATTCAAACATCAGTTCTATGGATGGAAGTGGAGTTACTTCTGGCATCTGATATATGTTCACAATCTTTACTGTTTTGCAGTCGTGAGGAGAGCACCACATGAATTTAAAATTGCTTGCTTGGAGGTTTGTTCTGAGTTCCATTTGTTCTCTATTGTCCTGTCATTACTTCTAAGTGATGTTTCTTTTTGTAGAACTGTTGATCTGATCATTTGTCTTTAAAGTTGAACCATGTGACTGGTTTACCATTATGCTGATGCTAAACTTTAATGGATTTTGCAGCTTTGTTCTATGTGTTATATGTTGGTTCAATTGATGTCAATTCCTCGGCTACTAGTTCTGAAAGTAGACTCCAGGAATGGATATTTATGCTCTCTTTTTTCTTCATTAGATCAGACTTCTGTTGCTCTTTCGAAGTCCTCTGTAATGTTGCTGATATATGAATAAGAAGTAATGTTGCTGATATATGACTAAGAAATTAGAAAGTCTTCATTTTGTTACTGTGTAATAAAGTCCAAAAGCAAGCAGCATTTCTATGTTTCATTACTGGAACAAACAATGGGAACAAAAGAAAATTCCCATACAGGTCTCCCCTTTTTTTCCTTTTCTTTGGGTTGGGTTTTATTTTGGTTGGGGGGACTCTTTTTCTGTTTCATCAAATTTCCTTGAATCCCTTTTCTTCACCTTTCTCTTACCCAGTTACATACCTACTGTGACTTCCAGTAACTCGGCCTGCTTGGTAAACTGATCACCACCCTATGTTTAAGTAGATTCAATGCTTTAGTAGAATAAATGAACTGTACACTTGAAGAACAAATGATCTACTGTTTCCTCCTCAGTACCAGAGTGTGCATTTAACATCATCATTAAGTATATTTTGATGTTTCAAGCTCTATAGCCTATCATACATTGAAACCCAAGCTGTAAAGCTATGTTTTTGGACCTTGTACTTGTTCCAAATGATTGGAGCCTCTCTACATCCCATCCCCATTTGTCTTTAGGCATTTGTAGCCAGTCTTGATGGTGTAGGTGCCCATCTTAGCTCCGGTCCAATTGTCAGTGCTTATTCTGGTTTCATTTTATTCTTCATTCTCACCAACTTTTTCCAGTGCCAAGCTGGAGTCTTGTGGAGGTGTGTAGTTCCAAAACCCTTCCCTTTCATATAGGAGTGCACCCACTTAACCTGCAAATCATCTTTCCTTGTTGCCAAATTTCAGAATTGCGTCCCCATGGTAGTTTCATTCCATGCAAAAGGCTCTGTGATACCCATAACACCTTCACTTTTCGGTCTACATGACATATTCCAGCCAAATTGAGAGTATCATCTCCCAGATTCCTTCTTGCCCATAGAAAATCTCTACTCTTCCCTTAACCATGTTTTTTCGTTAGCTCTACGTGTACAATTTTCTTATGAAGATGCTTCATTTGTACTTGAGTTTTTCTAGATTCTTCGGAAAGTAGGCCTTCAAATCGATGATATTGATTATGATTTTTTGTCTGCTTGCGGAAGGAATTTAAGGGAACAGTACTCAACTTTCCTGCTGATACCTTTTTCTTGGTTGCTTTCCCTCAAAAGATGTATAACTGAAGCTTCTCAAGTTTTGGTTGGATAATTCTTTTGCCAATGCATTTCTTTTGGTATTGCTACAGGCTATCAAAGCATTGTTTCCTGCAGACAGAAATCCATTCTATGCTGGTTTTGGAAACAGAGACACTGATGAAATTAGCTACCTTAAAGTTGGCATTCCAAAGGGAAAGATCTTTATCATTAATCCTAAGGTTGGCTTAGTGTCTGACATAAGATTGGGATAATTCCTCTCCGCAACACAGTTTGTATCATGTATGTTGTGCTCTTTTGTTTACAGGGTGAAATTGTGGTAAATCGGCGCGTTGATACTAGGACATACACTTCTCTTCATACTCTCGTGCATGACATGTTTCCACCCTTGACATCATCTGAGCAGCAGGTAATAAGAGCTATTTTTTGCATTTACAGAATTTATAAGGAATGTGCAATCTAGTGGCTATTTACAAGCAAAACTGCTTTCTAGTGTGTTATTATCCATTTGGGTAAACTCCATTTTGCTCTGCAGTATACTTGTTTTGTGCCAGATTGACTCATGATTAGCTCCTTTTTTTATTTTTTATTTTTTTCTCTCTCTCTCTCTTTTGGAGTCCCGAGCCATTTTCATGCCTATATTTTCTCTCTTGTGTTCAGGAGGACTACAATTCATGGAATTACTGGAAACTTCCACCTCCAGGAATTGAATTTTGAACACCAAATGCGCATACATCCAGTTGCTTTGTCAACTGTGAATACTGAGCAAGTCTCTTTGCTTGTAACCTATCAGGTCAGTTTCATTCATTGTTCAACGCAGTTTTCATCAACTCCCATTGCTCAACAATTCACGCGCCATGCATCAGCTCCCTTGAACTGGATTTTTAAATATTCAAAGATGACGCTAAGAAGTATTTCATTCATGTGGCAGTTGTAGATACAAAGAAAAGGAACTGCGTCAGGAGACCATTTTGTTCAAAAAGTATAAGCAAAGTCTCCTTGATGATACTTCATACAACTTCACTCCCAGCTTCTGGCAAAGGCAAGTGCACCAGGTTCCTCCATGCTATTTTTTTCGCAGATCATGGAGGGTATATATACTTGATATCTTGGAGAATAGACACATTAGAGAGAATGTCCTTGCAACTTGTATTTGTTGGCCCTACTGGGCAGGCTAATGTTCTGGGCCTTCTGGCAAGTATAGAAAGAATTAAATGTGTGATGCTCCCTTCGTCCCAAAATGATTGTCCTGAACGGTCATTTTGGGATGGTGGGGAGTATGATATGTTGTCTGAATTGGGACGAAATCATCAGTGACTGCTGATGCTCTGTCAACATATAGATAAGTATAGCTTTTTGAAACGATAAAAGGATATACATACATGTAGATGATAATATGACTCCAAAGCAGTTTTTGGGGGTGGAAATTCTGTAATATAGTTTATTCATCATTTGATATAGTATTATTTTGGAGAAAACATTGTAAATGTTTCCTTACTATCTTGAAATGGAACTACCTTTTGGTGGGCACAACAGTAAAAGAAAGGATTCGAATTGGACTGTCCACTTTCTGGGAATCATCGTGAATCATCACGAGAGGAAGAAGTTGGGTATAGAATAGCATATGATGACCTCTTTGAAGAACCTGGTATCTCTGAAGCTCTGCTAGATTAAAAGCCAATGACTCATTTTTCACATCTTACTGTAATTGTGAACTGAAAAATGAAAGTATATTTGGTAGAATTTTGTGATTGCTGATATTCTCCGCGGAGTGATCAAGTCCTTTATGCTAGTTTGTGTAGTTCATATCAGCTATAGTGGTCCAAATTGGAGGTTCTTATTCGGGTGGGAAAGACGTTGATTAGCAATCATATATAATTGTGGGATATAAAACAAGAAATCTGTTCTATCCTCCTAGCTTTTTATTCCCTTTTGAAGATAGACACATTGAAAGGATGATTGATTCGAAGAACAGGAAAAAATAATTAATCTACAAAGAATCTTGCATCTCTAGCTAGGCTTTTGAATTCAGCTTTGGCATCTTGGTATTAATGATATAAAGCAAAATTGGAAGTTGACAGGGGAAATAGTGGCCTCCTGCAAGTGTCTGCAAATTGATCATATAATAACAACCAATAAAATGTGTCAAAATATCATGGCCCGATTCACAAAGACCACCTTACACGACCAAGACACAATTGGCACTATTTGTGATTTCATCGATGTATATTTATGTTAATTAACGAAAAAATAACTCGATCTATCTCAAGATTGGATTGGTTTAGTGAAATAAAAGTACAATAAAGAGGACCCATTGGAAAAAGATAGATTATAATCTTCTTCTATACATATAAGTAGGGAAACTTTATTTATTTTTATTAATCATAACCAATTACCTATCAATCACAGAAATCATTACCAGCCTTCCATGAGTTAGATGGGGAATCAGATGCTTCAAGACAGTGAAGTGATGGCAATCAAATTGGCAAACCCTTATAGAAGTGCGTATTTATTTCGGAAAAGAAAGGGCAAACCCTCAAATCAAGTTGCAATCTCAAAACAAATACCGATTTTGGGATACTCAATTTAACTTAATTACATATTCAGAAGGGAAATTATTCCTTCCAAATTGCCTCATTTATACGTCGATATACATAGTATGTATACAATACGTATGGTACGTACCATAGTTCTTGCTTCTGAAAATTGGGTCGCAGGACAATGCTATCTCATGTCCATTTGCGTTTGAATTAATTTCGTTACAACCCTGAAGAAAAAAATCAACTACCATGTATAATCCAACAGTTGTATGAATTTTTTACAAACTCGGAAATGTATAATCCAACAGTTCTATGAATTTAGTTTTATTACACCCGACGAGCTAAATCACTATATGTGAGTTTGAACGCTGGAAACTGGAAAGTACAAGGATCAAAATATGCCTTTGCGGGCAACTTGTATGAAAAAGTCGATGGTTGTAATTGTTTGTCCTTTCCACACAATTTCATAATTTATACAGAGGATTCTACAAACAAAGGGGTCTCAAACTCTAGGGTGAGTAATGTACACGCTTACTTCAGGATTACTCCATATATAGTGTAGGTTTACCTCAAACCGAAGGTGGTGATCAGGAAATTAGACCTTACGTAGAAAAATAAAATAAAAACTGTAATCTTAGTTTTTCGATTTGATCTCATTGTTTATTTATTTTGGTAAATCTTTTTAAGCATGAAATTCGTTAGGAACTATTTTAATTCTACTTAAAAAAAAACAGCAAAATAAGGACGAAATATCTAAACTACGTAGGTATAATTCGTAAATCGCAATATAAGGAATCAAATTGAATCGTAAATATATAGGATGCAAAGGTAATCAAGAAAGAAACTACACACATGAAAATGTAAATTAAAAAGGCTGCTCCAAACACTTGGACCTTTTTTTTTTTCCTCCTTCGAATATTGGAGCACTTATTTATTTCATGTACACTAAAACAAGAGTTACCAAATCAAATTCCATTTGAAACAACAAGACACACGATACAGAAATTACACAATGATACATAGTCCTAAAAACCAGGCTACGTACTTTGCGTAGGTTTCGATCGATACAACGTTAAAAATCCCAGAAAATCAAAGACAAAAAAAAAAAGAAAAGACCATCCCCTCAATCCACCACCAAAATGCAAAATACAGAAACCCTTATTATTTTCTCCCATGAACATGAATTATATTCGTACAAATCAGCCTTACTAGATGATTTGTTGATATTCATTACTAGTAGGTTATGATTTTGACCCCAAGATACTTTAGGGCAAAATCTTTCAAGTTGTTGATTTCGTTGTCGTCGATGTATCCGCTGCCGTCTTTGTCCGCCATCCTAACTCCATCCCTACCTTTCCTCGTCGTAAACCACCCTCCGTTAGCCCGGATCGCCTCCCGGAGCTCTTGTGTGCTGATCCTTCCGTCTTTGTCGGCGTCGAATTTCTTCAACCACTTCTTGAACTCCTCTGGTCTCATCAGGATTTTGCCATCAGGGGAAGCTATGGGCTTGTTTAGGATAGCCATGTATGCTGCTTATAATCTAGTAAAAATGAATTATATAAGTGAAACTGTGTTTTTAAGTACTTTTGTACTTAAATTTAAGTACTGAGATCAGCAACTTGTGCTGTGAAAGACAGTGGAAATGGTCTTGTATTTATAGGAGCTAACTATTTGGGGCGGTTTCTTCTAGGTTTGTGTAGTAATATGATATTTTATGAGGACATGTCACATGCGAAAGAATATGTATTTTTAACTGAAAAAAGCACTGTGAAATGGGAGGTGAATATATAGCCCTACTTTTTCTATGGGGGAATAAGAATCAATCTATAAGATATGGTCTACAACTTGTTACTTACACAAGACTGGAATATTAAAACAATTATTGTTCCCAAGGAGTAATTATTCTTGACCATCAAGACCATTAATGAATTATTAGTTACATCATCATAAGATTAAGGGTAACTTAGCAGTATTTCAAGAAAATTGATCGAGATGATTGCCACATTCTTTTTCTTTTTTTAACCTTGATAGAATCAAAGACTACAACTAGTCAGAAACACGTGTGGCAGTCACATACAAAAGACCTATGTTTTCAAAATCGGACCGGAAGGTGAACCGTTCGCGTGACCGGGTTGGTGAATTTATCGAATTAACGGGTTAGTTCGTTCCTCGAAACCAGTGAAAATCGGTTAAAATAATATTAAGAAAAATTTAAAAATTAATTTTCAAAAAATATATGCAAAAACTGGTTCAACTGGTATCGGTTTTTGGTCAAACCGCGGTTTTGTCCGAGTTTGACCGGAATTTTTTATAGAGACCCAACCGGTGAGGCTTCCGGTTCTCGGGCTAACCGGTTAGACCGCCCGGGCCGATCCAGTTTTGAAAACACAGCAAAAGACTAAAACCATCACGATGACATTTCATCTTTTAATGATAAAGTTTTCATAATTTTGTGTATTGTATCATCAGATCATACATTTTCATCATTTATATTTTGCCATCGGGTTCACTTATATATTACAATTTCTATTAATTAAAAAAAAAGTACACTTTCGGTTATAATATTTAAATAACCATTGGGACATGTATTAACCTTCTTATCAAACGGTAAATTAGCCCTAGTAAATAGTACTTAAATTAAACTCGTATCAAATATTAAATTAATGTCACATAAAGTGTAACAGCAAAGTACGAGAATATATATCTTTCGTCTTCTATTCTTCTTACTCATATTTAAATAAGGAGATTATGCGTGTAGAATTAAATAAAGGACGAATAGGCTTTTGCCAAATAAACTAGATTCTTAATGTGTGTTTAATAAGGATGGTGCTAAGAATAGTCTAAGAAAGTGGGCTATATATAGGAGGGTCCGTAAAAATTATATACTTGTGTTGCCAGCAACCTTGCACGAAAACTCGTTATTTTCAAAATACGACCTTTTTTATTTTTTATTTTTGTTTCTTTTCCCCATCGGAGAGAAGGTTCATGTTTTGTTCGGTCTAGATCCCCACCGGTGAAAGTATTTTAGCACGATGGAATAAAAAAAAAAGAAGAAAAGAGAGTCCTAGAAATTAAAGAAAATGTGTATCTTATACCTAATTAACTTCACTACCGATGATGACTGTGAACATTCAACTATATTCAAAACAAAGAAAATGAAAAAATAGATCAGTAATTTAAAATTAAGAGGATGACAAACCAACAAGATAAATTAATGTACCTTTACAAATTAATTTTTTGAACTTCTACAAATTAAGGGAGAGTAAAGTATATTGAATTGATTTTGTACTGAATCTATCATTATTAAATTAAAATGGAGAGAAAAATTATTTCTGTTAAAACTAGAGTAGAGATGTTTTGGTACCCAACATTTCTGCACATACAAATTTCCTTTACCACTTCAAATTTGTGCTGCGAGAAGTCATCGTTGGATGACTCATTCTCGAATGGAGATAAGCATAAAACGTGCATAATTGGTCCATTTTCAACCGGCACAATACACTTCAATATAAAGTGGTAGAACAATAATCCTTTCCGTTCACTGTCGTAAACTTGTAATAATGACATGTGTCCGTAACACATTCTCTTTACAATTATCTTTATAAAGATCATCTTTTACGTATCATTATTCAAACATGTTCAAGTGTATCAATGCTGACTAGTCAAAAAATAAACCCTAACCTAATGGGTTTATGCCGGCTATCTTAGAGACTAAGTCACAGCCTAAACTTATTATTACTAGATTTCAGGAAACAGGTAAAGGTGGTGCCTCTCCCATAATTAATATCTTCTACCAATCTTCTACACCTTCTACACACAATACACATCCCTCTCTCTCTATTATCTCTATTCTCTTATTGACTTAAGTATCGGAGAGTCTACCCTCGGGAGACATCCGAGGCTCTGTCTTGCAGGTTTTAGGCCGTTCGCCGCCGCCTAGGTCATCATCGCCGCCCGTCCTAAGCATCGTACAAATTCAAATTTCGTCAAGTGGTATGCCCAGTGGGACCGATTTGTTTGGTCTTCACAACCAAATAAATTTCTTGAAACGAAGCTGAAATTTATTGGTGCTCTACGATGATCATCAGGTCGATTTGATGTGCAAATCCATATAAGCTCCCAAGTCATTCGAAGCAAGGGGCAATTTCGAGGATTGAAATTTCGAGAGATACATCTCCTCGAGGGGCAAGCATCCCTCGAGCAATACACTACTATTCGAAGTGTTCGAGAAGACATATCTCGACTTTCATAATATCTTCTCTGAATCGAGGTAACACCTTCTTGAGTAATTAATTATTACGAGATCGAGGTACTTCTAAAACCTTTTCATACTTTAATATCTGATATCATTATTATATTATTATCATATCACGATATCTTTTTGAGCATGATCAGAGGAGTTCTTCAAGTTACCAACCCTCTCGTGGTAAAACCCTATCACCCTTCAACGAGGAAAACGTACTCGGGGGCACAAATAGGGACATACCCTTGTGGCAAGGAATTCAAGGGATCATCCTAATATCCTCTGCTTGAATTGATATTCTTTACGAGTATCTTATTACTATATGTCATTCCTTTATTGTTATTATTGCAATATCTTTGTTGAAGTTCAATGGCAGAATCCACAAGCTTGAGCCACTTGAGCTCAATCTCCTAAGAAGCCCTTATGCACCACGTTCTTTGAGAAAACCACCACCTATCGACCATTGTCCTTCCGAGGACCTTCTTCTGTCGATCATTGTCTTCTCGAGAACCCTTCTCCAGCGACTACTCATCCATTCGAGGACCGTCCTCTCACGGACCATTGTCTCTTATTGAGACCGTCTTTTCATAGACTTTTATCCTCCTGAAGATCGTCATCCGTTTGAGGACCGTCCTCTCACGGACCATTGTCTCTCATCGAGACCATCTTTCATAGACCTTTGTCCTCCTGAAAATCGTCCTTTGGAAAGACCTTCCATTGTCGACCATTGTCCTTCCGAAGACCACCCCTTGTCGACCTTTGTCTTTCCAAGGACCCCGTCATCGTCGACCCTTGTCCCCTGGAGGACCTTCTTCTGTCGACCATCACCCTTTTGTTCATCTTGTAGTAACATCATGTTCGAGAACTGGGGCAACATTACAGAAGTCGATAAGCCGTCAACACTCCAGCCTCGTACTTTTAGCAACTCATATTCTTCTCATCAAGTCTCGAGAATATGGCTTGCTAGGGGCACTTGACGAGTCATAAAATAAACCCTAACCCTAATGGGTTTGGGCCGGTTACCTTGGAGGCTAAGTTACTGCCTAAACTTATTACGACTAGGTTTCAGGAAACAGGTAACACAACCTCTATATAAAGAGGTGGTGCCTCTCCCATAATCCATATCTTCTACCTATCTTCTACACCTTCTACACACGATACACATCCCTCTCTCTCTATTATCTCTATTCCCTTATTGACTTAAGTATCGGAGAGTCTACCCTCGGGAGACACCCGAGACTCTGTCTTGCAAGTTTTAGGTCATTCGCCGCCGCCTAGATCATCATCGCCGCTCGTCCTAAGTACCGTACAAATCCAAGTTTCGTCAAATACGTAGTTGATATACAATTTTTGCTTAAAAGAAGTGAGGAAAAGAATTTAAAAGTGCTTGATAACGTACCATTTTCAAATCAAAGAACTTAACCATTAATACATAACTGTAAAGAAGGCTTGGTTAACCGAAATTAGCTGGAATAGGTGGTGTTGTTCGAGCTCGTCGCGTAGGTGTTGTGGTTATTTGATCTTTTTGGGATTAAATTACTGGATTAGTTAACTATGAATTATTCTGCTATGGACTATTTGACTTCTTTGATATCATTTGATTAATGTGATTTTAGCGTTTTTCTGTTGCATATTTTAAGAGTTATGTTCGTGATTATGTCTTCCATTCATATAATGCTTTTTTTTTTTTGGTATATTTTCTTAATACTGAAAAAACCAAGAGGCTTGGAGTTACAAGGCAAAACACCCTAAATGTAAATCGTTATGATTATTTTTCTAATCGAACAGGCATTTCATTGACTTTATTTGTTTCTAGTAAGGTGGAAGAGGCTAAAGTTTAAAATTAAAGAATCATAAATGTTTTTTTCATATACTTATTTCTTTAAAATTAATATCATGTTGCGTTATCTCAATTATTTTTTGGGGACAAAGATGATACTTTCTGCAAGAAAAAGAGTATAAAGTAAGATTACAAAAGAAAAAAAATCGGAGACCTAATGAACATGTATGTAAAATGCACATTTTCACTGCAAAATATGCCTAAAAAGGGCATCATTTATTTATGCACATATGCCATGCATACGTACATATAGTCCACAAATTCAGGCTATACGTAAGCACGCCATACGGTAGGTGTTGTGTAAGACATCTTCTCAAAACATACGAATCTACAAAGTGGTAGACATAGCTAATTTTATTTGTCAGTTATGATTCTGATCCCAAAATGCTTGAGAGCAAAGTCTTTGAGGTTGACGATTTCATCGTCGTCGATATAGCCGTCGCCGTTTTTGTCCGCCGACTTAAGTCCCTTCTTAGCTTTCATTTTGGGAAACCATCCTCCCATCCCACGGACCGCTCGCCGGAGTTCTTCCTCACTGATCCTTCCGTCCCTGTCGGCGTCGAACATCTTCTTGAACTCGTGGACTGTCATTGGCACCGTGCCATCACTGAGCCGCTTCGGTTTGACAATGGGAGCAAATTGTCTAGGGTGGAAATGAATCATAATTACGTTTGTTTTAGAAGTACTATATGTAAGAGGATATGCAAATTCTCTCTTGTATTTATAGTCACCTTAGTATATATTATATATATTCCTTCCCCCTCAAAAATAAATTCCACATAAAATTTTTGAAATTTGTACTATTTTAAAATTTCGATATAGACTTTCGTTTAGAGACGGAGAGAATATATACTAACTAATCAACACTATTGATCTATATAATACTTCCCCACTATTACAATATTCTTTATAATCTGCAATACGGCATCTAGCAAAAGCTCTCAAATCTTATGGATAAGAAACTAATTAAAGAGTGAAAAGACTAAGGAATATGATTCTATAATTGAGAAAAAAAATCTAAATAAACCTGTTATGAGTTCAAGAATCATCTAGCTTATACCATTTCTTCCTTTTCCATTCTCCTAAATTTTTGGGTTGCCATTAAATTTTGTAAAAACCGATTAAAATCTCAATTTAATCACCATCGTACTTAAATTCCGTCTAGGTTGGATGGTGACGCAAAAATATACTTTCTCCTTCAAAATTTTTAAAAACGAAGGAAACATAATATAGAGAGAGATAGTGTTTATGACTTACCAATAATGAACGGATTATCTTAGACGGTAGTAATTAATGAATCAATATACAGTATAGCACATCTAAGATTCTAGCTATTACAGTTGAAGCGAGTTACATAATGGTACTTTCACCAAAAAAAGACAATTACTTTACTTAATGAACGCCAAAATAATAAAGGATAAATCATATTTTTCATGTAATAGTACTATGCAGGAGTTTTATATGTAGAGGGGATATTTTACCTTCAAATTATTCCCCCCTACATATGCACAAATCCTGTAGTTCGTGAAGCAAAAGGAACTGCAATACTCTTCCAGACCTAAAATAATTGTCGTGACTAGTTTTTCATTCAAGTACAAAGATACTAAAATAAATATCTAAACTTGGCAATCATTTTAAGACAGATGGAATATTATTCAAATATTTATTAATTTCAAATATGCTTATACACACTACACAATTTATTGATAGACAAATTCGATGTGCATGTGCGCACGCACACATATACACACACACACATATATATATCTCCACAAATGATGACTGCGAAGCTAGAAAAGAAATTCACTGGGGGCACATTAACACTCAACATAATTTAAGAAAATACTAAAAAAATATAATGATAATTAATGTGTTCTTAGAAAAATATTATTGGTAGAAGAGGATAAAAAAAGAGCTATTTTGGAGGTGTTTCTTTTTTGGGGTAGACAACTTCAAAATTATATATATACTAGGCTTTTGTTGTCGCGCAACGCGCGACAAGTTTGTATATAAATTTTTTTACTCCTTTGCCTGATATCAATATTTTTACTTCATGTTTGGTTGAAACTTTGTTGTTACGCTTAGTGGAGTGTTGTTTTTTCCCCTTGTTATTTGAACGTTCTTGGCTGATGAATTGTATTTTGTTCATTTTGTTCTTGCACTCTCATAATTGTTTAATTGCGTATTCATGATTTGTTATTTTTTTCCTGATAAAATGGTATGTGTGGCTTGGTGATATTAGTAAGAAGTAAAAGGACTTATTTCCGTTAATAAACAGTGTGCATCTGTCCCGTTTTTTGGAAAATAATCTTATCATCTTGCTTACAGTTTTATGAACATTTGTGCATTTTTCTTTCATAACTTAGTTTAAGGTGTTTTAACTGAGCCAGTAAAGTGTTCATACACATACTGATTTAGTAATTCATTTATTTATCGCTATTTTTTTCGTCAAAATCTTGTATGTATGCACAAAACACAACTACCGTACTGCTTATAGATTAATACAAGCATATCAATTAGTAAATAATAATGTATATAGTGAAGAAGGGGAATGATTATAATTTGCGAGATGGCTCCATTCTGTTCCATCATGTATTGTTGTGGGTGGTTTTCGAGCTTTGAATCTTGGAATGAAAAATTGATCTTGTTTTGATGTTTGTCATGGATTTTGCCGGAATTGGCACATAGGCAAATTCAATTTGGAATCTATTTTTTGTACTTCATTGTTTGTCCTGAATGTAAAATTCACAACAACCAAAATTTGGAAAACATCAATTTCAAACATATTAGATGTATCAAACGGTTTGAAAATCCTTAACTCGTGGAAAAACAAAAAGTATAGAGGCGAAACATTACATGAGTGATAAAAAACAGAGCACATATCAAAATAATCGGTACATGTTTGTCTTGAATTTTTGCATTAGGGATTGTTTAGCATACTCCACATTATGAGGAAGTTTGGCTATCTCAGATTGGAACGTAACAGACTCCATAATGGTGATAAAGTCTTTGAGTTTTGTCCCTGAATCACATTAAGAAAAGACATTCAGTATGGGTGGGATAGTAAGTAAAGAGCACATGAGTTTGAATTAGAATAACTTGGAGTTGTCGGTTCCTGCTAAAATGTAATACTTGAATTACCATGTTTATGAGATAACCTCCTAAATAGAAATAAGAAGAGAAAGTACAAACCATAATATATTCATAGAGATGCTGTAATACCTTTTCTCGTTCCTCTATCATCTCTTATGCAGTAATGCCCAAGAGCTTCTCTCCGATATCGCCTAAGTTCGTAGCCTGCAAGTGACCACTGTGGTCATGCATATTCAACCTTATACGGCACCTAAAATATCTAGGTAGAAATTTAAATCTAATGTGGTATTTGCAACCACAAATTGAAGACTACAAACCAACCGGTACGTAATATATGATTTAAACCAAGCTAAACTCTCTAGGATTTAAACAAAAGCTTGAGGTGAAAACGTAGTGAAACCTGAATTTATCTGAAATCCGTGTACTACTATCTATATATAATCTACCAGGATGAATTTAAGAGTGGTAGCCGCAACACCTTCGCCTCACTGTCCATGCTGCTTTTATTGAAAAACCATATAAGATATAATAATGGAATCACTGATTATCAAAAGGATCAAGGGAAAAGTTTTTAATAAACAAAAGGAAAATTTTAAGCACATAAAATAAAAGAGAAAAAGCAAAATAAACACCTCTACCACTGAATTTCAGAAATTTTAGACTCGTTAAATCTTACAAAATAGTAAATAAATACCTAAAAAAAGTACACAACATAAAATCGACAGAGATTATAATGGCAGGGGTAGAATAGAAGCCTAAATTAACAAAGAGAAAATATGAATACCAAGTCTTGGAATGGGAATGCCATCCGGCAGAAGCAAGGCAAGAAATCTCATGCAATGGGGAGCCTAACCAGCTATGGAAAGAGTTTTCTCAGCTGCTCTTCGTGGAACTGAGAACCCATCATGAGTGCTAGTGTCACTTGCAGTCAAAGTCTTGCAAAAGAAGTTAGTAGGATGTTTGCCAGTCTTTAGCCAAAATCTGGCATGGGGGAGGCATCCTTTTCCTGATCCAAAAGCAAGAGAAGAACTCCATATCACTGAGAACTCAATCACAATATAACAATGATTCAGTGAAATCCTTCAGTTCAGCCAATATAATAATGATTATACAAGTACAAATCTCAGCGCGAAACTTACAGAGTTCATCGGTGCATTTGAGCATAAATCTCATTGGTGTGTTTATCAGCTTGCCACAAACACATCAGGATAACAACTTAGTTTATAAATTTATGAAACAAACTAACCCCATTAGTTTATCATCCTTAGTCATAAAGGATCTGATCCTATTTTGAACATTTCCGTTTTGAACAATCCACAAGTTCATGGCAATAGAAAGAAAAAGAAATAAAATCTAAAAATTTACACCACATAATCTATCAAAGAACTCTTCAAACTGTCATGTACATGAATAATATGCAGTTGATGTGAACAAACATTAACCAATGGGCAAAACAAAACACCATGAAGCAGCTACAAGAGTGCAAGGTGCAGTATCGGATAATCATTATTTTTTGGCAATTTCGAGTCTTATCTAAACACTACAATTGAATTACCTCTAGCACAATACCACGCACCACTCACCATCTCCATGGTCTCGAAACCGACTCTGGCATAATCAAAATCTTTGGGAATCGTCGAAAATCCAAAGGGAAGTAAAATCAGTTGTAGAGAGAGTTTGGGGTGGTTCTATTTGTGAGAATTGCTGGTGTTTTTATAGACCGGTTGCCGACTTTGAGTTGTAATCCAATTGGAAGTCTGAAATCATGGGACTATTTGGAATTGGAAAATTTTTTTTCCTGGTGATTTCCTAATCCTATTTGAAGAGGAAAATCGGAAATTGTTTCTTGTTGGGCCAAAATAAATCCACGGCCTAAGGCCATGGTGCCGGTGGAAACGCCGCCGGCAGTGTTGTGGTCACGGTGGAAATGAGGTGATTGACTGATTTCTAACGGAGGGTGGCAGAAGAAAAAGTCGGGAACGAGGTAATTCTGAGAACGACGAGGGGCGAAGGGGTTTTTGGGTTTAGAGATGAAGGCACGACGTCGTTTGGGTGGAGTTTTTGGGGGGAAAAATTAGGCAGAGGAAGGGGACAACGTCGTTTTCTTCATTGGGGGGTTTTTGCTTTTTATCCCCAAAAATTTACGTTTGTTTATTGGGGGTTTTCTTTCTTATTACCCTCAAAAACACGGTTGCTTATACACTGAATTTATGAAATTTCATTTTTGCCCCTAATAAGTGATTTAATACCGACCGTCAAATTGAAGATGAATTGACGACTTCGTTTATTTGGGTGGGGTTTTTTTGGAGAAAAATTAGGCAGAGGAAGGGGACGACGTTGTTTGCTTCGTTTGGGGGAGGAGTGGGGGTGGTTTGAGCTTTTAACCTGAAAAATTTAGGTTTAGTTATTGGAGATTTTTACTTACTCCCTCCATTCCAAAATAAGTGTCGTTTTAGCGAAATAGAAAATTTTCAAAATAAGTGTCGTTCTCACATTTCAATACACTTTTTGTCCAAAGTTTTGAAAATTACCCTCAAAAGAATTAATACTATTGGTAGACCATTTTCTAATGGGTTTGGTTAAGGATATTCAAGTAATTTTATTACTCTATTTAAGAGTTTCTTAAACTATGTGCAAAGTGTAGGATGACACTTATTTTTGGAATGGAGGGAGTATTACACTGGAAAACTTTGGCTATGTTTGGATGATTTTTTGAGTGTGTGTTTTTTTTTTGTATTGAGAATGTAACAAGGTATATTGGAAATATAAAAAGGTGTATTAGAAATATAAAAGGTATGCTGGGATGTGATAGATATGAATTAAAAATTCTGGAAAAATGAACGAAAAAAGGAACCATAGAGTACATTGAATTTGTGAAATTTCATTTTTGCCCCTAATAAGTGACTTAATATTGTCTTTGGCCGTTGCCCCTAAGTGTATTAGCTAGCATTGTTTGACTTAATCTTGACTTCATACGCGGAAAGAATGTGTTTTAAGTACTGAAGTAAATTGTTCCTTCATCAGTGGCCGATATTGACTTCATACGCGGACTTGGACCTGTATAGAAAGAAAAATAAAGCTTCCAATTGTAAAATGTGTAACTATAAATAACTTTCTCAAAAACGAAGGTTATTCAATTGTTCAGAGACGACGTCGGCTCCGCAAGGTAGGAACGCCAAAAGAGTGAAGCTCTGCCGGTGGGAATGGCACAAGGATTAATTGGTTGGGCCGTCAATTTGTCGGTGCCCCTAATAAGTTTTTTTTTCTCAATAGGTTGCGATTTTTTTAAATTGGTTGAACTGAATTTATTAAGGAAGCCCGTTTTTACCCCTAATAAGTCCCTGACGTTTTTATTAGAATATGCTGAATTTATGAAATCCCGATTTTAACCCTTATAAGATTTTTTATTGGAGAAGGGACGATGTCGTTTTGTAGGTTGGGGTTTTTTTTTTCTCAATAGGTTGCGATTTTTTTAAATTGATTGAACTTAATTTATTAAGAAAACCCGTTTTTACTTATCCAACTCATCCGACGGCCGAGATCGCTTTGAAGGTGACCCTAAATATTTCTTGGGCATTTAGTTTCTTACCTACTGTACTTTTATATTAAGTATAAGGATGACTACAACCAACATCTATCTTATGGTCCTTTTATGATATCAAATGTTACTTAAAAAAAATTGTTACTTCCTTTATAAAAAATATGAGACATTGAATTTTGAGATTTGTATTATAGTAATAAAAATTTCAAAATTCATATGTATTATTCTTTTTTTGGGATATAAATAGTATACAACCATTGTGATAAGTATATGTAAATTTGTAATCTGACATACCAGTTAATTTTAACAGAATCAATTGTATTTAAGTTATATAATAATCCCTTTAAGTAAGTTAAACAATAATTAACCCAAACGAAACAAATATAAATATTGTATTTCTTTGGGCTTCCCTCAAAATATTAAAATAAGTGGAATTTGGACTAGTTTAGTGGGCCTATTTATTTCTTAAACATAACATTTTGTTAATTGTTTTTCCTAATTATTATATTAAAACATTAGTATACCAACTAAAAATAATAAATTATTTAATATATATTCTCTATGGCGGGACCAATCCAATGGGACCCCCACCTTGTCTCCGCCACTAACTAAACCTAGCTCTTACATCAAAGCGTCAAGAACTAGCCTATCCCTCTCAGCACATGAAAACATTAATGTTTTCTTTTTTTTTTTTTTTTGAAATACACACATACGAATCTGCCAGGGGGTAGCTAATTCTTGTCAATAATGATATTGATACCAAAATGCTTGAGAACAAAGTCCTTAAGGTTGATAATTTCATCGTCGTCGATGTGCCCGTTGTCGTTTTTGTCCGCCGACTTGAGTCCAGCCTTAGCTTTCATTTTGGTAAACCAGCATCCCATCGCACGGGCGGCCTGCCGGAGTTCTTCTTGACTAATCATTCCGTCGTTGTCGGCGTCAAATTTCTTTAGCCACTTCTTGAACTCGTGGGCTTTCATATGTATTATGCCATCGGAGCCATACTTCGAGTTACCGTGCGGCTGAAATCTGCAAAGAGCCATGATTACATTTGTTTTAAGTACTATATATATATGTAGGTAGTACGTATGTTAAAAAGAGATAGTAACACTTAAATGTCTCTCGTCACTACTTACTACGCAAAAGATATTGCTAATTCACTTGTATTTATAGCGGCTTAGTATACTGCTACTAGCAATCAACTAACTATATGTCTATAGTACTCCCACTTACTATTGTCTATTATATCCACGTTCGAGAATTCCCTCCCCTCCCGTGATTTGTTGGGTTACCTAGTTATGACCTGGACGGACAACGTCGGTGCAGGGTGCAGAACATGGCAGGGTCAGGGAGTGCTCTCCATTTTTATTGGTTTTTTTTTCTTTCATAAATAATTTTTTTTAGAAGGATCTGATGTAAATATGGGAAAATCACGGAAAAATGACTTATATATATCTCAAAAAACTGAAGAAGAACAAAATAGATCTAGGGTTTCAATTGTCGCCAAAACTAAATCTTTCGCGCTTCAGAAACGCTAAAACTAGGACATCCTAATTAATTTTACTTAATCGTAATTAATTAATGAAATAAAAATTGATTAAATAAAGTTTCGCGTTTTCAAAGCGCGAAAAAAATGAAAAAATATTTTATTTAAATAAAAAAGGAAATAGTCATAAAATTCGATTAATTTGCCTAGTTTTAAAATTTGTAGGCAAATTTACTTTGAAAAATTATTAAATTTTAATAATTAAATTTAAGGAAAAGTTCAAAATTATAATTGATAATCATTAAATTTTGAATAGAGCTATAAAGAGGAAAATTATTAATAGGAAAATGATATTGATAATTTTAATTATATTGATAATTTTAATAATAGGAAATATTTAATTATAGGAAAATTAAATTTTGATTATGAATATAATATTACAATCGATACTCATTAAATTAAATAGAGCTATACTAAATATAAATTATTAAAATTTTGAAATAACTATTTTAATTTATAAAATTTAAAACAATTATATTAAAAATTTAATCATTATTTTATAAAATAATTTTATATGAAAAAATTTCAATAATGATAAATGACGTAATTTTATGGATTTATATTAATTAGATGTAATTTAATTTATAAACTATTTATATTAATTATGACAGTTTTAATATAGGAAAAAAGCTTAAAATATGAATAAATTTTAAGAAATATTTATTATAATTTACAAACACTTAAGATGAAGCAACTATTAATTATTAAAAAATAAAATATAGTTTGAAATAAAATAAATTTTTTTTTTAGATTTGATCGGCGAAGGTGTGTTTGATAAATATTAATAAAGTAGCAACGATGCAGGTGAAATCCTTGTTTAAGAATATTAATACAAGTCATAACAAAATACTACAAGTCATAACAAAAGGAAAAAAAAAGTCATAACAAAAGGAAAAAAAAAAAGTCATAACTAAAGGAAAAAAAAATTAAAAAAATACAAGTCTAATAATACTACATAAAAAGTCTAGTACCCTACTTCTTCTTGAACTTTTTTGCACGAAAATGGCTATAAGTCAATCTATCGGGCTCCTTTGTCCCTCTCTGGCCTTTACTCAAAGCCAACGGTGGAGTCTCTAGATTTTGACTCGGTCCCTGCTCCTCATGGCGCTGATAACCCTGACCTTCAAACTGATTTTGCTGGTCTGCATCCTCATCTTCATCCTCATCCTCATCTTTACCCTGACTCTCACGCTCACCTCCAACCGGGTCATCTGCCTGATACTGACCTGCAATACCCTCGAACATACTCGAAAGAAAGTTACTCGTGTAATGCAACGACTGGCCATCTAGAGAACTTTGCTGGAACCTAGAAAGGTCAATAAAGCAATCTCCAAACTGAGGCTGAGAAGGCTGATGGGAGGAAAACTGAGTGAAGGCAAAATGGGACTGGTGGTGCTGGGGAGACATAATGGGACGATAAAATGCCTGTTGGGTCGGCGAAACTGAACTGTGTAAAGAGTGATGTGGAGAATGATGTGGAGACTGATGGGATGAATGCTGTAGAGAATGGTGTGGAGACTGATGGGATGAAAACTGAGTGAAGAGGATATGAGACTGCTGATGGTGAGAGGACTGATGTGGCTGAGTGGGAGTGATTGCCTCTCGCCTCCCACACCCACGTTGAGACCTGCGCGAACGCCTCAGAGGTTCGGGAGGTGGATATTGCTGGGTCAGGTCTACAGGACCAAGTTCTTGACTCAAAATGTCATTAACCTCATCCTGCTTCTCGAGATCGTGACGTACAACATTTGTTGCATCGACGGACAACGCATGCTCAGCAACCTGGGCAATCTCGCCTAAGCGATCATAACCAAAGGAATTCTTGTCGAAAGTATACTGGCCTATAATACTAAGACTACGAACGTCCTCCATCAAAGTGGCCTGAAATTTTTGTTAGAAAGAATCATAAATCGATAACAATGAAAATAAATTACATAATGGACTGTAAGCGAAAGAAATTGTACGAAAAATCACCATGAGGCGCAAGGTCTCTGCAGAGGCGTGAAAACCCCTCGTGTTTTCAGAGTCCGTCGGATCCGTAACATACTTTACAGTAACCTGATGGTACCACAAGAGATACTCCGAATCTGCTGTAGGCTCGCCAACAAAATCATCATCAGTCCCGACAAAGTCTGTTGTGGCGATCATTCCAAACCTGGAGATATATACCTAGTTTTTGTATCCAACTCCTATTGGACCCTCCAAATGGCTTCCTCTTAAGCAAGCTAGTAATTTCCTCTTTGGTCAGAAGCAATGCATCGCCGGATATCCGCTAGTAATAACAAAATTGGCGAAATACCCTACTGGAGTTGTCTGGCGCAACGACATCACCGCAGAGGAGCCATGTCTGAGATCGCCAGATGCCCTGTCCCTCAAGACAAACCCTGGAAATATGACCCAGAAGTGTCGTGTACAGCATCCATAGAAACTGCATTGGTAATACAGTAAGAGATAGGAAATTAAAAGTCTGGCACCATTAAAAAATTTAAAGAATATGTTACAGTAATTGAAATGAATACTAACATCTGACTCTGTGACAACTGTAAGCTGATCCCGGTAGGTGGCCAAATTGAACCGCGTGATACCTTGAACTTTTTTCTCACGGGACCACCTGCACGGAAAAACTAACATTAAATTGAGACATGACAGTACAAATCACAATGTCAAAATTTGCGGAGGTTCGATGTGTAAGATTACCTCGTGCTCAATGGACAATGAGAAAGATCGAGCTCCTCACCCAGTATCTTTAGCTGAACCGTCAAAATCCGCTCCCAGGCCCAGAGCTGATTCAGAATTTATGGATCATTAGCTAATATCACAAATAATTATGGGAAAATATAAAATTCGCGTAAGAAAACAAGGAAGCGAAACGCGAATTTGAGGATTTAACCCACCAATAATTCGCGTTTTAGAAACGCAAAATTTTTTTAACCCATCAAAAATTTGCGTTTCTGAAACGCGAATTTTATTTAACACACAAACATTTCGCGTTTCCGAAACACGAAATGTATTTAACCCGCTAAAATTTTGCGTTTCTGAAATGTATCTTTCGGGCCTCTTCATACAGTTTCATGGGCTTAGGAGCTAGAACAGTCTGACATGTCTGGATCATATCAATATTTGCCTAAAACAAATTGTTGCTTTTTTGAAAGGATGCTAGGATCAAAGCTGTGATCGGGAAGAATCTAGCACCTTTCAGAACATTATTCAAACTCTCTGAAATGTTAGTGGTCATTCCACCCCAACGATGCCGTCCATCGTAAAAATAGGTCTATTTCTCAACACCCAACTTCTGAAACCAACGAGCTGCCTTGTCATTTTTTCTTCTAATTTCTGCCACTCTGCCACATACTTTGTCTTTTGCGTCGCTGGACCAATCATTTGACAGTTACCTCCTAGATTCTCCTTTCGAAAATGCCCAACCAAGTTTGCTTTAACGTGCTCTAGACAATACTGGTGGACTCCCATCCCTGGATATTTTTGCAACATGATGTCCATAGTAGTGAGGATACCCTCATTTTGATCAGAGATAATATAGGTCTTCCTATCTTGTAGAACAAACTTTTTCAAATACTTCAAGAATCATTTCTAGCTGTGTATGGTCTCTTCGTCCACAAGAGCAAACGCGATGGGAACAATTGTGCCATTTGCGCACTTCACGCATGCCACAATTAGTTTTCCTTTGTAGGATCCTCGAAGGTGGGTGGCATCGATGGTTATTACTGGCCAGCAAGCATGAAATAATTGTATATATAGATAGCCCAAATACCCAGAAAACATACCTACATACAAACCTTTGCGAGCTTCCTGAATTTTTCTTAAACTTGAATCGCACATAGGTGTTTGGGTTTGACATGACCAATGCGTCAAGGAAGCTGGGCAGTTGTTGAAAATTACTTTCCCATGTACCATACAGAGCCTCAAGTGCTTTTCTTCTACCATGCCATGCCTTCTTGTAGCTACATTCGACTTGGTACCTCTTGAAAACTTCTATGTGAATTTGGGCAACTGCAAAATCTGGATGTTTTTGCACATTTTGGGCAACCAGTCTAGCAATCATAGAAGACGTCACGTTTTGGGACTCGTTTCTCTTGTTTGCCCCAAGACAATTGTGGGAATCGGACCATACCACCATTTTCCAAGTATCAGCGGCCTTCTGTAGAGAAACTCGCACCTTTCACAAGCAATCATAGCCGTGAAGATGCTCTTTCGAATATTTGGGCCCACAGGTCTCGCATTCAACATACCATGTTCGTTTAGAGCTAGTTTTTACCCGAAAAGTCCGACCATGTTGCAAGTTCCATTCTCCCACTACCGCCTGTGCCTCAAGCTTGTTGGTGAAATGTACATCAAGGTCAACCGTCATCGCATTGCCGTCCCACATGTTTATCCCATCAGAATCTTCTTCCTCTAAAGTCTTGTCCCATCCACTGATGTCGTCGAAAACATATGGTACTGAAGAAGATGAATCGAAATCAGTGTCGTCATCTGGGTCCTCATCCGATGGGACATACTCATCGTCAATGCTTTCGATACCCCCGCCATCTTCATCTTCATCTTTATCTTCATCTCTATCTTCATTGTCTTCAACTGTTCTACCACCACTAGTGCTGGCATCAGTATCCTGGCCAGATGTACTTGCATAAACATGGCCTATTCTCTCAACATTTTCAGGGTACAATTTCGGCCATTTATCAGCACAAAGATAAAGGAACCGTACAGTATTATCATCATTAATGTGCACACTAGACTTTTTCCCTGACCTCTCCATCCATACAAAAGAAAATCAATATACAACCCTTCTCTATCAACTTCCATCACACCACATACCTTATCAACAAGTTCTGAGAAATCTAACATACCATCAATAATAAGATAACCGTCCGGTGCATCTTGCTGTACCATGATAGTCCCATCAGGTTCAGTTGTATAAGTAGTATTCCAGCATACTTTCAGACGAACTGTCTCCGTGAAAGACATTTACGGCCTGCATAATCAATTCCTACAAAATCAGAACACTAGATTCAACGAAAGAATGTGGGTTTGGGAAGAAATGTTGTTATTTTGCTTGGTTTGGTATGTAAATCTTAAATTTCGCAGGTACAAAACGCGAATACATTCAAAACTTATCAGCAAAATACACGTGGAGCCGAATCAGTGTTTAAGGAGATTTTCTGGATATTTTCGCATTTTCAAAATGTTAAAATCAATTTTCGCGTTTTCAAAATGCTAAAACATTTTTTTCGCATTTTCAAAACGCTAAATTGTCACAGCTTTGTGAATTTATATATAATCTGGATGAAGTCTAAAAATAAAAAAAATCATTTTAAATTTGTAGCTTTTCGCGTTTTTAAAACGGTAAAGCTTTGTTCGCGTTTTTGAGACGCAAAATATATATTCGCGTTTTCAAAACCCAATTTTTGATTTCCCTTTTTTAATTCCATTTTTTTCTTTCATTTTTCCCGGATCAATTTTTGGAAAAAATAATTAACAAGATTTGTGTTTCACAAACGCAAAGTTTTAATTTAATTTTTTGTTTCGCTTTTTTAAAACACGAGAAAATTAGGAATTTCTAATTTTTAAATCCTAGACATATTTATTTCTACGACTTTGGGTCTGAGCCACCCTAAAGTCAAGCACCCGAAAATCAGTGGTTTATACTTTTAGTAGGAACTGAACTTGGATTAATCCTCGGCCGGGAAGCACATCATTCTAATTTCTAACTGGTTAGGCACAACGACAATGATAAAAATAAACCTTAAATGAAAAATAAATCAGATGCAAAATTTATGTCGTTACGTCAGTTTGGCTTACTTTCATAGATAAGAACTGAATTATCTTATTAACTTGCAGAATTATTTCAGAAAATAGTATATAACATAAAATTTATTCTAAATTTGTAACCCTTTAATTTAATTAAGAAACTCCACTGCCTTCTTATTTAATAATTTTCCATTCATAAAAATAAAAAAATGTGCGACTTTTCCTTAAGCCCGAACTAATTCAAGCAGGTCCATAGTTTTCATTAATTAATCCACAAATTACAATATTATAATAACAGTCGTCACACGCACTATTTGACTTGTCTACGCACAATGCAAAACCCCACATAATTATACAAACTATAAGCATACCCACAATAGGATCGACGCGTCCAAACGAAATATGATGATCTTACAAACATATAGAACTTGTCTATGTAATCATGATGATCTTACAAGTTGAACTAATTGTTCTAAGTTATGATTATGATCCCAAAATACTGGAGAGCAACGTCCTTAAGGTTAATGATTTCACCCGTCGATGTATCCGTTGCCGTCTTTATCTGCAAGCTTGAGACCATCCCCAAATTTCACAGTGGAAAACCAGTCTCCCCTGGTACGGACTGCCGTTTGGGGGTCTTTTTGACTAATCCTTCCGTCGCCATCCATGTCGTATTTCTTTAGCCATTTCTTAAACTCGTCGAGTGTCATGATTTTCTTACCGCCCGACTCACGCTTTGGCAAAATCATAATTAGTTAAAAGTTCTGCTTTCCTGAATACTAATAGCTATAACTTGAGCATAAAGAAAGAACTAGTACTCTGCATGCTATGGACACTATGGATGTTCATGTATTTGTAGAAGCTGCTTTGGTCCTTTTTTTTTTTTTTTTTCAAGTCCACTACAACAAAAATGGGCTATTAATACCTTTATAGTGGGACACTTTTTCTAAAATGTGTCTCATTATATGTGTATTAGGACATTTGCTAAAAAGTGTCTTATTAAAAATGAAAAATTGTATGCATATTATGAAACACTATCATAAGTGTACTATATGGGGTTACTTGTGAATTATTACCCTACTTAATGTGTCACTTTAAAGTGTCTCAAT